CCAAGAGAATTATACGGTGCTCGAGGGAACAAGGATGAGCCAGAGGCTCGACGGAAATTTACGAGCTTCTGGATAGATCGATCCGTAGGTGATTTGCTCGCGACCTCCAATCCAGACGTAGCCTCTGCCTATTTCTCACCCTGTCTCCGTGTCTCTTGAAAACGATTCGATTTTCTGAAGTACTGAAAACAGTCCACCTACTGTCTACCGAGACGCTTCAAGGATCCTCGTGGGAAAAGCGTGTCGCCATCGAGTTTCAACGACCTGAACGCGATGGCTAACGTGTATATGACAATGAAAGTAATGTCGTTTAGAAGGATTTTGTTAAAGAAATAACAACAAAAGGAGAGCTTTCGTTGTGTCCATGAATATTGAGAGATCAAAGTATATTGGAAGATAAAATAGTTTTATCAGATGACACTCCGTTGATGCAAGCCCAATTGAAAAAAGTGTTATGATGGTAATAAATGAACAAGAATCTATTCGTTCTGGAGAAAGTTATGGTAGTATGAACTGTAACTGTATTCGAATTGAAGAATGTTATGATGGTATGAACTGTAATAAATGAACAAGAATCTATTCGTTCTGATTAAAGGACGAGATTCGAAGAGATTGGGGAACTGAACAAATGCAAGGCGCCGTATGGGTATGGCAACCACGTGCTGCTCCATTTTACCCCTTCCCATTTGTCGGACGTCACGTTCCATCGCGGCCGGAACAAGGCACAACAAAAGAGAGAGGAGACAGAATTGTTTGCCTTGGGTACAGTTTAAGACCCAATCAAAGCAGAGACGCGCCCCTAGAGAAAAGATATCCGTTTCCTTGAAAGAAACCGAGTTTATTTTCACCTCGAGGTGTAACTAATGTATTCAACCATTCAGCGTGCTTGATGTATACTTTTCAAGCAGAGTATCTTCATTCATTTCATTCAAGCGTTCATTATATTTCTCACGTTTGCTCAACAAGTGGATGTTTAAGAGTTGGAAATAAGGTGTATCTTCAAGCTACTTGCGATTCAATCATTCAAGATTTCGATAAATTCTGTTACAGCCTCTAGCTTCTACTCTGCAAAAAGAATTAATGTTAGATTGTACAGGTGTACGCGGGTAGATCTGCTGGCGAGCATAGGGTTGAACATGCGACAGGAACGTAGGTCTCGTAACGTGCACCCATGATCAGCGGTATAAAATTACGGTATCGTGTAAACAGAGAATATCGTCGGCGTGTCTGATGGCCGCTTGGGTGGCCGTCAGGGCCTCACGTGTTCTCCACAAGCAGTGAGACTCTAACTTCGGCCTCGTCGAGCAGCCGGATCGCGTAAATTGCCGAAGAATTAACGAAATGGAAGTTCACAAATGAATTAGCCAGTATCAATAACCAATAATAATGATTCTGTTCCACTTGTGGAATCTTCAACGCTGGAACAAAACAAAATTTGTCTCGCAAAAATGTCTACGTTTGTGTCTAATTACGTGTTACTCAGCTTAAGTATGTACTCAATATCTTTCTAAGAAAACGACGAAATTACTAATTGTACTGTGAGCTCTCTAATAGGAATTTAATCTGTTATAAATGTAACTAGTTTTCAGGATGATTTGCTGGAAGCTGTTTGGAATCATTAGAAAATGCAAGCTACACGAAGAGAGCACGTTTACTCTGCCGTACAATTTGTTCAAACTTGAAATTTCGTGCTTAAGAAGCTGAAGAAGCAAGTCACAAAATGACTACGCCGCCGGATGTAAACAGACGAGAGAGTTCGTAACATGCACGTGAGGCAGACAGCCGTAATGTCTGGTTCCGGTCTGCGGTTTTCCTACGGGAAACACGTGCGACTGAAACGGATTTTCTTCGGGTGGTCTTGGTTGTCGGCACCTTATATCGCGTTTTATCTTTTAAAAAAAAAAAACTGATCCGGAACTGTCGCGATTTTGACCCGAGTGTTGTTTATTGAAGTGAGAAAGGAAGAGAAAGGGTCGTTTCGAGGTCTTCAAAAGGACAACGAGATAGCAAGCAGACATAAGATGCTTATTTTCTTACGGTGAACGATAATTATTAAATCCTTTCTCATAGACAATGACTTTTCATTCTGCAACATGGCAGAAACTGTTGATCGTGCCTACTCTCTGTGTATTAACTGCTCTCTCTCTCTCCTTTTTCTCTCAGATATCTCGAAAGGCTCAATTAGGTTTTTCTCAAGTGGTCACTTGAAGCTGTCGCAGAAAACATCACGGGGAAATCTTGGAAGCAGTAAAATAGTAAACACTTCTGAACGCCACTATCTTCGGAGGATGGCCACTACAAGAGAAGGCAAGTACTTCACTTTCAACCCTTAAGCCACGAGATCGTCTGTTAAAACGTTCTACATATGTACGCATTTGGAAGAGTATGTTAAAATTTTTCAATGTTTTTCAACAATTTCTTTACAAGCGTCTTGGAAACTACATTATTCTCGGTGAATCAAGGTGAAAAATTTACGTTACTTTTCTAACAATTTCTAAATTTATACAACTGTAAAAGTGTAATTGATTCGTTTGGTAAATGATAAGATTTAAGAGGAAGGTTGTTGTTGATGGTTGAAAGTTCAAGTATGTTTCAGGGGTACGTTTTTTTAAATTTTTTTTAACATTACAAATAAATGGCGGGGAAGCACACTCTGAGCAATGTTAGCAGAGTTAACGGAACCACGGAACGCACGTCGCAGGATTTCGAGTAGGCAGAGACAAGATGGCCGTGACGCTTCTCTTTCGTCGGATCGTTCGCTGTAAGGCAAACAAATTCCTTGAGAATTCGTGGTAGAGAGAGCTTGGGGCGTATGATATCGTCGGACAGACGTCGGATGACATTAAATAATTGCCCCCGTCGGTGCTTCAAGTTTTCAAGTTTTCGTGTTTCGCCAAAATTTTTTTTTTTTTTTTTTATCATGTAGATACTTTTTTTCTACAATTGGCGAGAGAATAGATATTCAGACTTCGTTCTTCGTAATTTCATTTGGAATTGTAATTTCAGTTCTAAGTATTATGCATACCTAATTACAAAATAATTATATAAAAAATTGGGAAAGAAATTTTCATTTAATTTTTATCGTTAGGTATGTAACTTACTGTTATTATTATTATTGAATATTGTTATTCCATGGATGGTTTCGGAATCGTTTGATCGTTTGCAAATGTTTCGCAATTAATTTTAAGATTTTAAGGTTTATACATCTGCATAAAGTTTTGAATCAAGCCTTTAGCGGATTGTGATACGCATGTATATGCACGTAAGCGTACGTGAAATTATTATTCTTGATAAGTGTCGATCTCCATTCTTTCAGGCCCAGTTATCTGACACCTCGTCACGTATTCCGACACATAAACACTTTGATTCAATCGACTGCGATCAACGACTTAATTGACAGGCGGATCATTGTGACTTAATCGTGGGGTGAAGAACACTATGATATGAGAGTTCAAAGACTTTGTAAATAGAAAAATAACGTCTTACTTGTAAATAGAAAAATAACGTCTATTAAATTTTTATAACTATTAAAATATTCATACTGAGATAATATATATTTCAGAAATTATATATGTCGTATTTCAGGAATTATAGCGGATTACATGTTTGTCTCTCTCTTATATATCATCAAGTTTCAAATCTTGTATGTCTCTGTAAATGTAAACTTAGTAAAAAAAAATTAGTGCTTTTTTTATGCAATGATAATGCAATACTTGATAAGACGAAGACATTTTAACTCATTAACGACATACGTAAGTGTAAAAATTTTGGATTATACAAATAGTTAAAAAATACATAGAGAATTTTCTATTCAGTTTGATCTTTAAAATTTAAAACGAAAATTTTACACGATTTTCAGGTGAGAAGAAACACAATTAATTCTCGAAATCACGAACGTGTTGGTAACGATCTTCAATTATTGTTCAAGGTGAAAAATTGTAATGGAAGCCCGGTATTTTGTATTCCACGAACAGAAGACTGCGATGACGTTTAAGGTTTGTCAGAGACTGACATCACTGACAAAATTTCCAGATAATTGGCCCTAATTTCGGGATAATCGATGATGTAGAAATTCCGGAAGGAACAGACAGAGAATGGAGGGCGGTTCTATAGTCGGGCGGAGCGTAGTTCTAACATCTCGTTGGTCAACAGGTGGACCAATCGTTTCCTCGAGCTTTTTCGTACCGTCTGCAAACGCATATCCTGAAATCGTGAAACTCGTTCCTCACAAGTATTAATCGTTTATACAGACATTATTGAAATAAGAAAATTATAGCACTGAATCGAAGTATGATTGTCCATCGTTGATTAAAATTGTGACTTTTCCACTAGTCACACGTAATGTGCCATATTTTTTTCCATTTTTCTAAGTAAAAATGAGAATTATTACAAATAAGATACAAGAAAACAAAATGAGTCATCCTATTGAACTCGTGAATATCATATTCTCTGGAATCATTGAGGAAATAAATAATTATGATTTCTGTATGAAAGTGAAAAGATTGATAAATCAATTTTCATCTGTCTCGTGAAACATCACACTGAGAAACAAGATTTTTTAGAACGCTCTTCTTCTCTATATTTAATTAGTCAAAGTAATCATACCTATATGGAGTATGCACACAGATGAAAGATGCTGCCCTCCTTGAATCGTCAAAATTTTATTCAATAGAGTATATCCACAATAATAATTAGACTTGCAGAGTAAATAACAATTATGGCAAACTCACGTTATGCACTGACACTCTTATCAAATGGAAACAATGTTACAACAAAAATACGAAGTACTCAGATAACAAAGGGAATCTTCAAAAATTCTTCTTAATAAAAAAAAAAAGAAGAAGAAATCAATGATACGACATTAATTCCTCGGAACATCCATATTTTTCTGGTAATTAAATAACCATCGCCAATAATAAAGACGGAGGAATTATGCAATCTTCTTCGTTACAATCTCTCATCAAGTAATCACAGCATGCTCGGTTGTTCTCAGTAATTGAAGCTTATTTCTATCAGGCGTGATATCGTAACGGGAACCAGTTGCTATTGGCCACGAGCGTGAGCTTTGGTATCGTAGATTGTTGGTGGACCAATGAACAGTCGAGCCACATCCCCTCGGTTCATCACGCCTATCGGAGATGAGACTGGCCCGTGGCTGCGTGACTCGCGTCATCGCGATGTATTAAGCTTCCACCAGGTCCGGAGTTGATTCCGAGGTCCAGTCATCCGAAAACACTTAGCGACGCATCAGCGCAACGTCTGCCAAGTGGCAAGTCTAAATAATTGACCCCACCGTTCGGCGCCGTGCAAACAATTTACATCGGGCACACGTAAATAACGGCCCTCTTTCCTCTTCTTCCTGATTGTGATTACGTGCAGAAACGCGTGGCCGCCGCACGCGAATTCGTTCACGGCGCGCGAAGACGGCTAACACAGTAAACATAAACAATAAATACAGCGAAATTCGATTTCAAGCTGCGATCGTGAGTGAGACATCGACCAGGTGACGTGAGCGACGAGGACGCTATACACACAAGGGCTACTGTTTGAGGACGTTTGAAGTTTTCTTGATAATCTCTTCGATCACTAGATCTGTCGCGGTATGAAATACACCTGAAACTGGAATTTGTGAGATTATTGTGTCTAAAGTAACAACATACCTGCTACTGTTTAATTTCCCCAAGGAGTTACTGAATGAGCAGTGAAGTGAATGAACTGTAGCTTGAATTTTAGAATGTTCACTATCGCGTGACGATCAGTCACGACCGATCAAACTATGGATCAGACAGTGATCGTTCCGTCGACTGCTCGCGGAAGCAGCGTGGACAACGCGCGAATCACGATGAAGAACGAAACTGACTCGAGTCTGCATATTCAAGACCAGTCTACCATAGCCCATTCCAATTCCGCGTCAGTGATACCTCGATCCAATTTATCGATGACGAACAATCTGAATCAGGATCAGAGTTTAGACCCGTTGATACACAATCCGTCTAGTACAGAGTTACCAAGAAAGCCTGGAGCGCGGCGCCAAGAGAAACCACCGTATTCTTATATAGCGCTGATAGTAATGGCGATTCAGTCGAGTCCGGGGAAGAGATTAACGCTTTCAGAGATCTATTCGTTTCTTCAGCAACGCTTCCCCTTTTTCCGTGGCGCTTATCAAGGCTGGAAGAACTCGGTACGCCATAATCTGAGCTTGAACGAGTGTTTTATCAAACTTCCAAAGGGTTTGGGAAGACCAGGCAAGGGTCATTATTGGACAATTGATCCCTCGACGGAGTACATGTTTGAAGAGGGAAGTTTTCGTCGGCGACCACGAGGTTTCCGTCGCAAGTGCCAAGCCCTAAAGCCACAATATCCTCAATACTTTTCCGGAAGTGGTCCAGTGACTGTCCAAACTGCCGGATATGAAAATTTAACGCCTGGTGGCATGGAATACGCGAATGGCTATCAGAATCAGTATCAAAATTACCAAGAATACGCGATGTACGCACCTGGTGCAGCGGTCTCCGCTGATTGGGCTTACCCTGAGGCCACGTACAAGACACCGCCCATAGCAGAAGTAACATACAAGACGACTGAAGTCACGTACAAAACTGGAGAACCGTCTGTGTACAGAAATGGAGAAATTGTAGCGTTTAAGAGCGAGCCTGGATACGCGGCCAGGAGTCAGGATCAATTAGCTTACAGAGCTACAGATGGATTCTCCGTGAAGGATCATCAACAGCATCATTCAGAGACAATTTATAAGGAGAACGAGGCTATGATGTCCTATAAGTGTGCGTCTAATCCCGCGCCGACTACTCAAGCACCTGGACAAGATTATTACGTCGGTTATGGACTTGCAGGGGTCAATAATACTGGAAGCAATGTGAACGTCGCTATGCAGGGTATCTCAGAACAGACTGGCAACACCAGCCCCGTAGGAAATGTCAGTTCTCCACAAAGTGGATGTCAAACACCTGTAACGGATAATGGTCAGTTTGATAGAAATATAGTAAGAAATATTAAAGTATTAAGAGATTATATATTTGATTTTTCTGTTAGCTACTCTTTGTCGGAATTAAATGACACATTTTACTGGAATCGGGGGAGCTTTCTGGAAAAAAAGTTCATCAGATAAAATTGAATAAATTACACTAAAATTTTAATAATTATAATGACTCTTAAAGAAGTTTGTTTTATATTTACAATTTATTTTTATTCATTGTTATTAACTTCATAATAACTCAACTATTTGACTATGAGAATACACTTGATTATGTGTTTACTACTCTTTTTTCAGAAAACTCTCAATTCATCTTATTACTAGAATAATTAGTTTCTTATAATATATGAAAAGGGTGGTACTTTTAAAATAAGGAAAATAGTAGAAGAGATGATCGAGTACAATTCTGGCTCAAATAATGTGTTCTTAAAAATGTAGACATTGATTTTTTTGGCCAAGATTTTTCGAGTTGAAGATAACAATGGCAATTCACGACGAGGGGCCATGTGGAAAATCACAGACAGTTTATGACTATACAGGCGCCGGCCTCCGTAAAACTGTAGCCTACTCGTTCAGGAAGAATCTCGATGATTTTCACAGGCACAATTGGAATCCACATTGAAATCCAATGGGATGATTTGCTCAAAAATGATCTGAAAATTATTTTCATCGTCATTCGTGATTGCTTTGAACATTACACATAGCTATACTGACTATAAATTTCACTAATTATATATTATAGAAAAGTATGAAACGTAATACTAGAGAACTTTCCGGACGAGTAAATTTAAAAATCAATTTTAACATTTAATAACACCGTTGAAAATATTCGTTACGCGGAGCCGACAGACACGAAATCACCGTAGCTGACAGCACCTATTAGGCAGGGTGACATTCCTGTCACGCCCATACGAGAGCTCATAATTCGTAGCATAACACGTGTAACGCAGTGCGACACGATACTTCGGTTTATCTTCCGTTTAAATTAATTTGACGCAAAAATTCAAACCGGTGTAACATAGATACGACAATTATCATGGATCGTTAAACGTTCACTTTTCAGATAAATCGCTCGAAGAAACTCAAATCTTTAAGTATGTATGTACAAATGTTTCACAACACTTCAGTCCGTTAATATACTTTGTTCTTTGTTAAGTCGCTTATTTGAAAATGATAGTTTAATAAGCAATGAATAATTTAACATCCTGTTCTTTATACTGTCAACTGGATTAGAATTTCTTTAAACAGAATTCTTTGAAATTCCTTATTTTCTATTTTATATATTTGTCTGTTTGTATACAGCGTTTGTGCATACAGCATTTACCTATTATAGATTTTCTATATTTTCTAAGAAATTCTGACTCGTTTAAGTCATTACAGGTACATACATGTTTCGGTGTGTGGTCGCTCACCTACAAGTTCATTTTTATTCATTTAATCAGCAAGATTAATCCGATCATTGTCTCCTATATTGTTTAGTCTTCTAGGGATTTTTCATTGATTGATTAATATTTGCTAACAAAATTCGTATAAAACGTAGGAAAAACAAAGCTTGATTACTCTCAGAATCATTATAAGATATCAATTCTCAAGTATCAAGCATAATTTTTAATCTCCAAATGTGCATGCACCATCTTTGTCATTCAGGAGTCAATCATTGTTACATCGTTTGAAGTTTGTGTTCTAATATATTCTATCCTGTTTCATAAACAATTCATAAATAATAATTTCATAATTTAATTAAAATTAATAGAATTAATAGACTTAAAAAATAATAAAATTCGTAATTCGCGATATTGATAAATGTCGGAGATTTACAACCTCCATTGATTCTGAAGTTTCATCGCGAACGCACGCTAGAATAGCAACTATGAGAAATTTTATGGTATCGCATAATTTTGTAATATCATATATATCCTACAGACGTTTGATATTGGTCGTTAAGTATATAGTATCCCAAGTTACAAAGATTTACTATGATTGAACGATATATTAAACACAATGTTTCAGAGTTGTTGATTATACACGTTTATGAATGAAACGATTTCGTGAATGTGAAAGCTTACTACATTAATCGTGTGATAAACAAATGATCATGATGGACGAAAATACACGATTTTTTTTTTTGTATCAGTAACCGCTAGTCGCATACTAAGTGAGGTCTCAAATCGCTTATCGTGTAAACATTTACAAGTGGTGTAAACAAGATGTTCTTTAATCTAAGTACATCGAATGTAGCAGCCTCAAACATTAGCCAGTTCGTTTATTAAACCTTTCCACGGAACCAACTTCACTCTGCGGTTCCGCAGTCGCATTAGAGACATACCTATCTATAATGATGAATTAACAATTTTCTTAAGTAATAAACTTCTGTGAAATTTATTTCGCTAAATAGTTAAATTTAATCCTGCTAACTATTTGTTTCAAAAATTATAAAATATCTCTTTCAAATCAAACTCGTACAAGTCAGTTTCTCTAGAATATTGCATTCATTTTGTATTTTAATTAATTTGTATGTTCATTTTTTATTACTTATCTTATAATTTTACTTATCTTATAATTTTACTTATCTTATAATTTTGATTATCCGATTGCCATCTTATAATTCCAATTCTCACTTACAATTTTAATAACCTTCCAGACATGGAAACTTTAACTTTTTCTCAATTTTATGACTGAAGTGGGTGTACATTTCCCCACTACATATATAATATTTACTATTTAACTATAAGCATTATGAATAGGTATAGAGTTTAAAAAACCCTAATATAAGCATTATGGATAGGTATTCCAGGATTTAAAAAACTCCGATATTTGTGATGAAGTTACTCTAGTAATCAACGATATTTGCTATCTAGATCAACAGATCGTTCTCATATGCGCACTCCCGTTTATAAGTACATACAATCTATTCCTTCTCTCTACCTCGATACACCATCGACAAGGGATAAACGTACCACCCACAGTTCCTCCCCTAACCGCTCTTCCTCCTACTCCTCCTTCTCTTTTCTCGTTCAGTCAGTAAAGTGTAAACGAGATCAATCTGCAGACGCCTGTAAGCCCCAGTTTTCCTCTTTCTCTTTTTCTTCTACCCTGGTCTCGGGATGTATTTCTGGAGTCGATCTCTTTACTTCGCGACTATAGCATCGTTGTTGGCAACGACGACCGCTGATATTCGTTCAGGCAACCGCTTCTGTGCTCTTCTTTTACTGCCATCGTATTTTGATTTGCTGAACGTGTCCCATGTACGAAAGGGAAAGAAAAGGATAGATAAATTTGCGCGCAAGCGCGCACAAGAAACAGATCCGCTCAAGCAGCCAGAAAACTTTGGATTCAACGGAGATGGAGAGGTCGGGAGAGATTTTGACTGACGGCACTGCCATTGAGACCACACACGACGCTGTTTTAAGATTCTCGTTACATTTGCCTTCGACCTGGAATTAAACCAAATTCCAATTACCATCGAGAACATTCGCTTTTATTCATACCATGTCTAACCAATCTGTCAGCGATTTTACTTCTCCTTATTGGTGGATAATTTTACTTTTCTTTTGACTAAAGCTACTTCTACAGATATTAATACGTTCATATAATTTTCAGATATGTCCTTTCTACGTCTTTTTACTTTATTTTTTTCTTTTTTACTTTCTCAACGAAGGTAGAATTCTATAGTTTTTGTAAAGATGTAAAATGTATGCAGAAAGATCTGTAAAAAAATGAACAAGTAAAAGAGGAAAATGAAAAGACAAAGATGAGAGTCGAGACACGAGTGAAGTACGCACTTGAAGAACTACTTGAGAGTTGCCGGAGCTTCGGATTTATCATACAAGGACTGATTTCGTATCGTGAGCTCTTTCGCTTTTTCTTCTTCATCTCTTCTTGTCCCTTCATGTGTGGTCTCCCTGTCTTCGTTAGAATTCTTGTAAAATTCATTCGTTCAAAAAACAGCAATTTAAATGCAACGTTTCAAATATTGGAAAATATTTAAAAATTTGAAAATATATAAAAAAGTACTATTTTATTAACAATAAAAGTTCTTTAATATCTCTTAATAGCTGAAACTTGGCAATTAAGTTCTGTTTTTTTTTTTTGCTTTTACTTCTGTTTCAGGTATAAAGATGCAGTGCTCTAACTCAAATTCGAACAGTTCCGGAGGTGGGTTGATCGATCGCAAACCACCCTACTTTAGTCATCCAGCCGGGTCGTTTACCTTGAGCTCGTTAAGCTCTCTAAACTCGCTCAACATACCTGGCACAGTTTCCTCCAACATTCATCATACGACCACGACGCCGCCGACTTACTACGATCAGATTAAATATAGCATGTGAAATATGTGACGATCTAGAACAAAAAGATACAATGTACTTCTTATTAATTATGTAACATTGGTGCCGATGAAATTTCGAAACAGTGCGGTAGAATGAATATTCAATGATATTTACGATTGAAACTCTATTGCCAATGAAATTTATACGAGTACAAATTCTACAAATTTGTAAAGAAAAGGAGAAATCTGTTTTTCAAACGATTGCTCCGATAATAGTGTAGTTTGAGGTCCTATTTATATTTATAACTACGAATAAATGTTACTAATTTAAGTTGTTCGCCGAGAATTAAATATAGTTCTATATAGAATTAATTAAACTATCCTTCATTGTGAGAAAGAAAAAAGTTTTCTTGGTCGCTTAAGTTACATTTTGATGCTCTCTCATCTTAAGTTTTAAGAATTAACCACGATGTATTATATTTTGAAATACTTCTACAAGACAATCTTCAACTGCCGATACTACATCAGAGTGAGCTAAATATTAATGATGTCACATGATGGTTTTGCGGTGACGATTTGTTGACTGTAGCAAACTCTCTTTCCTAGTCCCTACTATTTCTCGCCCACGAATTCTGGCTGTTTGTTAGCACCATTTCGCGTAGTAATATTATGCTTCTTGTTAGCTCGTATGACAGATTGTTATTAAAGATTCTACGATTTCCGTTTCCGTAGCTTCGATCATTCCTTATTTAAAATGAAACTCATTTGAGTTCGTCATAATCTTTGTGATTTTTTTTTTTACTTGAGAGAAAAAAAAGAAGACTCAAAAAGGAAAGTAAATTTTACGATCTCAAAAACTTGTTTCGTTTTCTTTTGATCTATCTTTTCGTTGAAAAAAAAAAAAAAGTAAAAAGGACCGAATAGCAAGGATTCTGTTCTTATTTCTTCGGGCCTCAAAGAAGAGCCAGTAGTTTTAGATCCTTCGCAGGAAGGTTATAAAAAGAGATAACATGATCGTGAACGATAGTAATGTGCTCTACCGCTAGTAATATGCGACAGATTTCTATTGGAACAGCTTGTTGCTGGTCCCTACCATAAAAATGACAAGAACAGCGGCGCCTTTCGGCTAGTCAGGATGCACTTATTTGAGTAATATGGAGTTTCTTCGGATGTTCTTTCTCATCACATGTTCAAATAGTTCCCCAGTTCTTTTTACTGGCTTTCTTATAAATCACGTGTTACATTTTTCTACGAAAATCGGGATCGATTATCGATCTAAACGTCACGTCCAAAAATAATGCGATGACACTTGATCTAGGTCTCATTATCGCGGTCACGGAAGAAATACAAAGAAACGCTTGGGAAACTTGCGGCTGAATCAGGATGTTAATTTCGAATTCCGCTAATTCCTTTCTCTTTTCTCTTCTATTTTGTTGCCAAACTGTATTTCTATACAAATATATAGTAAATATGTTCACAATGTACTCGTGATTACAGTAAAATATATTGTGCTGATATACTTCAATATAATTGTAGCCACAAGTTTCATTGCATCGTCGTCACTTACAGATAGATGGCCCTTTGTTTTGGCGATTCGAGCTTCGCTATATATCGATGATTTCCTTGAATTGGCTTAGAGATTCAAGAGGCATGAGATTGCTTATGTAATAAATTAGAGAATGCTATGCGAGATAACGGATCACATATGGTGTCGGCTTACACGAAACAGATTCATAACCGACATTAATTTCGCATTAAGATTTTTCTCTTCTTCAATCGTAAGATTCATTTTGTAGAAGGATGACTCTTGATTTTTTTTAGTAGTTTTGTATCTTAAATTATTCTATGATGAATATTTTGTTCTGTTCTTTATATAGAATTTTAGATCTTTTATCAAGTCACTGAGTATATTGCTAGAAAGTATAATGGATTAATTATATAATATTGATACTCACACACACTTATCAAATTTTTTATGAAATAAGATTTATAATATTCTGTTCTATTTCGTCGGCCAACCATTTGCTGGCCGAGCAATTTTCTTAATCAATAACGTGTGATCTAAGTACTAAAGTGGTACGAAAAGAACTTCTCACTGCGTTATCCAGAATGCACGTAAGCCAGACGACGAATATGCACGAGGTGTAAACGACGTTACTCAATGATGCCGTTGACAGGCCATCTCTGGCCTCGTGGTTCATGGTGTTTTCATTTCTGCAATACCTTTTTGTCCAAGAAAAGATTATCCTTCTATTTTCTGTCAGAGTTGTTATCTAGTAAATGAAGAGATTTTTATTCAATAATTTGAATATTATTTTATTTACAATAATACCTGTATCTTACCATAGATTTTTTTAATTAAACTTAAAGTTATACTTAAACTAGTGAAACAGAAATTATTATTGAAAATTGTGATAATTCACCGCCAGTAAAAGTACATTCAAAATGACTAGTTCTTGATCTGAAAAGTAAATAATTTTAAATATTTATAATCTCATATATCTATATTTTTAAAAATCATACAAAGTAGAATAAAATTAAAGAATTTTCTTAAATTCAAGATCAATGGCAAGAGTACAAAATAATAATTTACGTGATTCTGATTAAGTCCAATAATGGTCGATTCTCTTCTACGAACAGACGTCCATACGTGAATTTTTTTTAAAATCATGAGCTAAAAAATTCGAAAGATTGCATTATTTCAAAGCGTTTTGGTATCGAAGCATTCACGAAAAAAGAAGAAGGAACAAAGAGGATACGAGTCGAGAGAAGGGTGAGTAAAGAATAGAGAAAAAAACGAGAATACGAGAGGAAGGGGATATGCTCTGAAATAAACTGCTCGATACGATCCGAGGCTAGACAAAGTCGACGCAAATGCAACGATTTACATTACTTTACTACTCTTATATAGACTGAAAAATGAAACGTTCGATCTGAAATTATCGATCAAAAGAAAATTTAATTATTTACAACAAATTTATGTTATATTGGTATACTTAAATTTATATTGGTTAAATTGATTATAATCAATTTAAATTGGTTTATTAAGTTTGTTCTTGATATGTTTATACTTATAATTTACTATTTTATCGAATTTAAGCTTAAAAAAAGTTGAATATTCCACTTAAAAAAGCTAGTTAACCTCTAAATTTTCTGTCCTTTCATGTGTAAAAAAAAATCATTGCTATCATATTATATAAAATGTCCAGTAATACATATTTTTTAATAATTATTTACAATATAGAATATTCTAAGTGGATCAGTTAATAGAACACCCTGATCATTTTGATGAGTAAATAAAATAAATATAAATATTTATATGTAAATATCTCACCATATTAGATTTTTCATTATTTTCTATAAATATAAAGATACATATAATTTTTGTTCTTATCCTCCTCTAGTATATCATTATGATGAAAACCTTTATATCATATAAAAAACATTAACAGCTAAAATTAGTGAAAATTATTAATCTAAGGTTACATTTATGTTTAAATTTCTTTCTTTTTCAATATTTAATTCATTTATCTTTTATTTACTTCAGTAATGAAATTAATTTTCTCATTGGTTATGTACTTTAAACACTTGTGCACTATGTTACAACTAAACACACAGAATGATCGATTGTTTTAAATTAAACTTTTCAAAATTTTGAAAAGAGCTAATTTATATTTGCACGGTAAAATGTAACGCTTGAAGTGCCCTCTGTAATACTCGAATCTCGTACAGTCATTTCAAAAATTTTTCATCTTGGAATCGTAGGAACTTTAATTTAAAAAATAAATATCCTTTTGAATTCTCGAAATAATTTTTTAATAAGAATAAATGCTGTAGAATATGATATTCTCCAATTACTTTAACTTAATCTAAATGGAAATAATTGACAATAAGAAATTTCAGTTAGGATTATGATATCACACATGCGCATTGCAATATCACAAAAAACGTCACCAACAGGTCAGAAAAGCGATAGTAGACAGCCGGTTATTTTGTCCGGAAGTACTGCCAAGTATATATTTTGTTTACTAGTATTAAGCTAAAAATGGAAGAAATATTATCGAAGTTACTTGTAGCTGATAGCACATCTATTCAGCAGGTATATTTAGTAACACGTAATAAAAGAAAAAATTTTACAGAACACACGTGTCTGCTAACCATGAAAGACAAAAAGTCGAATTTATTTAATTTAATCTGATACATATATTTTAACAAAATCCTTTCAAATACTTCTCCTGACTTGGAAACTATTTTACATAATTGATAAAGTATTTTGTTTCGTATACTTCTCTCTTTTTCAATATATTTGATATTTTAATATGCATGTCACGCAGTCTTTGAGTTTCTTTATTAAATAAAGATGAACATTAAGATGAGCAAATATATTTTATTAAGATAGTTTTTAGAATCATTTATAGTAGATATTATATTGATACTATATTCACAGGGAACAGCGGAACTTAGAGAAGCTTTCAAGAACCAAGAAAACACACTAGCATTATGTCGACTTATAGCATCATCAGCAAATCCGCAGGTTTTTATTTTAGATTCCTATAAATATCTTCTTGATGTCATGAATCTTTTGCAATATTACGATTTATATGTATCTAGATAAGGCAATATGCAGCTGTATTATTAAGGAAGCATTATGCTAAAGAAAAACATTGGTTCAAATTACCACAATATATACGGACTGAATTGAAAGGATTAATTTTACAAGTAAAGAACTATTATTTTGAAAAGTATATATTTTGATAAAAATATGTATTTTTTTTTTATTTTTCAGACATTACTTAATGAATCAGAAAAAATAGTAAAGAATGCAATTGCACAGTTAACAGGGATAATTGTAAAACATGAATTACCTAATTATGCGTGGCCAGAAATGTTACAGCTTTTACAACAATTAATTACCAGTGACAATTTAACGAATAAAGAGGTATAAAATAATTATTTTACATATTTTTATGATTACTTAGGGTACAATATTATTAGAATGAAATGAAAATTTGAGTTCAGAAACTAATAAAAACCTGCAGTTAAAATTTTATTTTGGGGATCGTCTCTCCATCTCCTCCATCCCCTCTGTTGTGTCAATCCCTTCAAAATTTCATTTCATTGGTATTATAGTCAATATACAATTTCATTATAGTTGGGGTTGTATACTTTGTCAATTCTGACTGAAACTTCACCTGATGTCTATCTTACCCGTGCTGTGTCGCTTACAATTCTTTTGGGACAAACATTAAGTAATTTAAACGACTTAAGGCATCCTATAGCATTTTATATTTTAAAAATACTGCACAATCTTAGTCCCTTAATTAATGGGAATCAAATGGTGAGTTACTTATAATGATTGAATATTATAATCAAAAATATAGAAAATTATATTTTATAATAAATAATTTCCATAGATGGTAAATATTTATCATCAAATAATGCCACAAATAATGACCACAATTCAGTATCTTACTACTTCTAATGAAGATAAAGCTATTACATGTTTTGAATTATTAAATGACCTATGTGAAAATGCAATTACTGTGATAACACCACATGTCAATGCTCTTGTCAATATGTGCCTTGTTATTGCTCGTAACAAAGCATTAGATGATGCTCTGAGAGTTAAAGCAATTACTTTTATTGGTTGGTTAACCAGAACAAAAAAGAAAACTGTAATCAAACATAAACTTATTGAACCAATTTTAGGTAAGATATATTAATATTATCAATAAACTTTATTTGCATGATGATATGTAATTATTTAATTTAATTTTATAGATATGTTGTTTACTCTTATGTCTACAAAACCCCAAGATGGTACTGATGAGATTTATTTTAATGGCGATAATGAAGACAATACTCCTGTAATATGTGCTACTCAAACTTTAGATCTACTTGCACTTCATTTACCTCCAGAGAAATTAATTCCCCACCTGGTATGATTTCTGATACTTATAACAATATTTTTCTTCATAAGATACATAATATTTCATTTTTATGTTACTTTTATAGTTACAATACATAGAACCTAGCTTGCAAAGTATAGATATATATGCAAAGAAAGCAGCATACTTGACAATGGCCGTACTAGCAGAAGGTTGTTCAGAATATATTCGTACAAAATATCTCGAATATTTCTTACAGTCTACCTTTCAAGGAATTAGTGATTCTCACCCTGTAGTGCGTAATGCTGCACTCTTTGCCCTTGGGCAGTTTTCTGAACACTTACAGCCAAACATTTCTCTATACTCACACCAATTATTACCAATATTATTTGAATATCTTAGTCAAATATGTGCTTATATTAAGCAAGAAAAGAAAGAGCCACCTTCGGTTGATCGTATGTTTTATGCACTGGAAATGTTTTGCGAAAATTTAAACGAAAGTTTTTTACCGTATTTGCCAACTTTAATGGAAAGGCTTTTTGAAATCTTGAGTGTGGATACTTCAGTCCATATTACAGAACTTGCCTTAAGCGCTATAGGTTCAGCAGCTATGGCGAGTAAAGAGTCTATGTTACCATATTTTGAAAAGATTATCACTATTCTCGATAATTACCTTTCAGACAAACAAACAGAAGAAGCTATGTGTCTTCAAATACAAGCAGTTGGTATGAATAAAAATATTTAAAATTTATGTAATGTTTATCAATAAAAATAATTTTTGTCATAGTTAATTAATATTTTAGATACTCTTGGGATAATCGCGAGAACAATAGGTGATACAAATTTTGCACCTTTGGCTGGTAAATCTCTTAATTTTGGAATGAAATTATTGAGAGAAACAGAAGATCCGGATTTAAAAAAATCAGTTTATGGATTGATTGCATCACTTAGTACAATAATGAAAAAGGAAATTGCTGATGATTTGTCAGAAATTACTGACTACATAATTACAAGTATACAAAGTTCAGACGGCATAGTAGTATGTAAAACAAATTGTGAAATATATATGAGAAAAGACAAGTTAATTGTATTTATGTTGTTTTGTTTTTTATAGCCACAGTTTAAGGATGAAATTTCTACCTTCCCAATTTATGAAGAAGTTAGTGAAAATGAAAATGAAGATGAAGATATAGAAAACACAGACAATGAAGACGATGATAGTGATGACGATGTAACAGGTTATAGTGTTGAGAATGCATACATTGAAGAAAAGGAAGAAGCAATTTTAGCTTTAAAGGAAATTGCAGAGCATACTGAGTACGATATTTAATATATTTTTATATATTTAAACGCATATTTTTTTTATAACGCTATTTTTTATTTTAGAGAAGCATTTTTACCATATCTTGAAAAATCTTTTACGGAAACTTTTAAATTAGCCAATTATCCACAAGAAGATATTCGTAAGGCTGTAATTGATGCTCTCTTACAGTTTTGTATCAACTTTTCTAAAATTAATACTAACGAAGGAAAGCAAGCATTGTTAAAAGCTCTCTCTATATTTGTTCCAAAATTATCTGAATTGATAAGATTAGACGATGATCGAACAGTAGCTATTAATGGTTTAGATGCTTTTGCAGAACTTCTAAAAGACGTAGGATCAATTGTTGTTATTGGAGAAGGTCATAAAGAGGCTATTACGAATTGTATTACTGATATTATGTTAGGTAAAAATTCAATATAGACTGTATTTTCGATATTTTAATAACTATTATCTGTAAAAATATTGTTTTGGATAGGAAAAACAAAGTGTCAGCATCACGAAGAAGAAGAAAACTTAGATGTTGAAGCTGAACAAGATGAATTACTTGTGGAATCTGCGGGTGATGTATTATGTAATCTTGGAAAAGTAATCGCACCGGAAGACTACGAGCTGCATTTTAAAACTGTACTACCAATGCTTTTAGAAAGATTGGTATATACCTTTATTTATTTACATTAATATCAATTATTTATTAATTTGTAGTCTAACAATTAAATAAACTTTTCAGAAAAAGAATAAATCCGAAGGTCAGAGATCTTTTGCAGTTGGTACAATTTCAGAATGTTTTTCAGGACTTGAACATAGAGTAGCTAATTTCATATGTCAGCTACTTCCTTTATTTTTGAAACTAGCAAATGATTCAAGCAGTGAAATTCGAAATAATGCAATATATGGAATTGGTGAAATTGTATTGTATGGCAAAGATGCAGTTTATACGTATCTTTTTAATATATATCTTATTTAAACATTATATTATTATAAAATTTCATAGGTTTCATTCTTTTTTTCTTAACAATAATTTAATAGGCATTATACTGAAATTTTATGCGTTCTATCAAACGCAATTTATAAAGAATCACATGCAGCGGCTCGTGATAACATAGTTGGAGCAATTGCGCGACTTATCATCGTTAATTACTCGAAAATACCACTTGATCAAATATTTCCAATTTTTGTTAAACAATTACCATTGAAAGAAGATTTTGAAGAAAACAAAGCAGTGTTTAAAAGTATTTTAACATTATATGAAGCTGGTCATCCTATTTTATACCCACATATGGAAACATTACTCGGAGTTGCAGTTAATATAATATATGAAAATACTGCTGCTGATGATGGTAAGTTATGTTTTCTTATTATTTTACATAATAAAAGATTGTTGTATTATAATACATATTAAATTATGTTCTATATTTTTTATGCAGAAACAAAAAGTATTATTATGGAATTCATTAAATCTGCTCAACGGGATTTTCTAGATGAATGGAATTCTATGTATGTCAAACTTCCAATAGAAGTCGCGACAAATATTCCGTATATTTTTCCTTAGGTTTCAATGTGGGTTTGAGAATTATTATCTTTGGTTACAAGAAACATATGGATTGATGAAGATATTTGTGTCTTAAAGAAAGTGATATATTTGCTATATTTGTCATTTTTTAAGTTATATGAATTGAAAATTTCAATATTAGTTTTACGAATTGATAATTTTATACATATATACATATATATGTTCATTATTTATAAACGTCATAATTATAGAAATTATATTTCTTTTCATACAATATCAAGGAATCAATAAGTGCAACTAATCACATCATAACATAATAGGATGCAGTTGCTCATATTTTATAATATTTTACGATTTTACATTTAGTATGAAAATATATCTCAATTTTCTTAGACAATGTATATTAAATTCTAGTCTACAGAACTTTTCATTGTAAGTGGACTTAGTAGATGATAAATATTAAATTCTTCAAATTGGCTCGACGTGAAATCGAAATTAGGATAATTGATAAAATTAATGATTATAAAATCTAATGTATTTGAAAGTTGGATTTAAAGGAGTGTTGTGCTCATCGTCAGAAACGAATCGTTTTATTATTATGTTCTCTGTTCTCATCCAAAAATGACGCGTGTGCATATAAAGCATTATATATATACATCAAACATAAATGTACTATTTGAAGAATAAAATTGTTACATTATATCACCTTTTATAAATAATATTCATAGCATTCCATGTCAACGACACTATAATTTTTGTAATTCAATTTGCTAGAAGGAAATAAGAGAGTTATTTATGAAATTTTCAGACTTGTGTGAAAGATTATATATATATAATACAATCATTATACAATCTTTGTATATGACCTAATATATATAAATAGATTTTATATATGTAATGTACGTATACAAAGATTTAAAAAAATATATACATAATAGATAAACACTTCTATTATGTTCTTGTTAATTTTGCTTGCTCATTTAATTTTAATTTCAAAATTATTATAATAAAACTATACATTAGCACGAAATATTAATGTAGATCGCAAGAGCAATGATTTAAATATTCCTGAATTTTATATGAATATTTTTATTCTGGACAATTTAACTTTTCAAATTCGTGCACAGGCGCACAATGGTTCGCATCAGCGAACAGAATTGCCCGAAAGTAATCGAACAGTGACGCTCGGAAACGCGCGAGAATTACATTGTCACGTAAGAATACTTATACATTATATATTACTTTTATTATTCGCACTAACTGTTATTTTTTTTATTGGAAGTACAAGATATAAAACTCTTAAACAAATTAAAGAAATCATCATCGAAATTCATTGACAAAGGTATGACATTTTTTGTCATACTTCATCATACCTTAAAAACTCTAATTTATTATAAAGAATATTACAAATTCAACAAAACGAAGTTCATTCGAAATCTAATAGTAATCAATGAAGGGAAGGATAGATTCACTGATGCGATAGAGAATGAATTCTGAATAGTCGGTATTTCAGAGCAAGTGTCACAAGATCCGTAAGAGGTCAGGTTTGTTTCATTTGTGCATTTCATTTGTGGTTCAGCACAACCATACTGATTTTATTACTTTTAATGTTTCAGCGAATGAATTGAATATAATTTCTATACCGGCCGCAATAAATTCTTAAGTTTTCTGAAGACTGATATTTTAGAATGTAAGATATCAGCTCTCATATACATCCCATCCTTCAATAGTTATACATTTGTTCGATCTTTATTGAAGATAACGCTTCTATATCGATGTATATCGATGTATATGAATAATACGTGTATGATCATATGGACTTTATATGAATTGCATCATTACGTAAGTATAAAAAAACTTAATAAAAAGTATGAAATGTTTCCTATAAAGAATGAAGAAAGTATAATAGATATGCATTGTCATAAGGACTTTCACGATCAGATGATGCCTCATTTTTATGTATCGTTTTGGCACACAAACTTGCCGATCGACGACCTTCATAGAGCGAGACGACGGAAGTCATAAAGCGTTATCGAGGTTCTTTTCATACCATTGAGCCGAGTGAATTAGTCATCGATGATTGAATGTGTGCGTACCCACCGGTATACGCACCTACGTATATGGTGTATTACAATTTTGGTATGCTTTGTTAATTTGTACATATTTCGTTTTAAATCTAATAAATTTTCTATAAATGTTTTTCTTTTCTTAAATTTAGATTTATTACAACGATTTATTTCTTGTGTTTAGAAAGCATGAGAATGTTAGGTATGCAAATTGCGTAAGCGGAAAACAAGCGGAAAGAATTTTTAGAACTGGATGTTCCAAATTAAATCACCGATCGATCTAGAAACTCTTTTTATGTATATTTATATATATATATATATATATATCAAAGATAAACAGATAAATTCGTGCCTTGTACAAAATACTCGAGTCTTCAAATTTCAATTTTTTATAAAAAATTGTTAATCTTGAACGAATTACTATTCTCTTTTGTGCAATGGACCATATATATATATATATATATATATATATATATAATCCATTCAGAAGTCAAATTGATCCACTTTTATGTAAGTGATCTGGATACATAATTAGTATTAAATCTTTTATAGAAACAAATTATTTACTTCTAAATTTATTTATTACAATAAAACGATTGTAATAAATGATTGAAATATAAATTTCAATGAGAAATTCTTAGAAAATTATATATACTTTTTCCATTCATATAAAAAGGAAAGATTGTAAAGAATAATTAAGATATATTCATCAAAGTATATACCAGAAATGCTGAAATTTTTGAACACCCTATATATGCACGCATATCGAGTGTCTGATGCTGGTTAGTGTCCTTGGGATCTCCACCATGACTCGAATCGAAAAGGAGCTGTAGGTGTACGACCCATGTCCGTGGCCCGACTGTGTACCTGTCGAGCTTACCATGCTCCATGGAGATATCGCTAGTGGAAAGTTTCGTCAGACGAAAGTCGCTTATTGTGCGCAGCGACTCAATGTGGCTAAATCGTGCTATCCATCGATGAATTATCCAAACAAAAAGTGGTAACGTCTGTTATTATAGTGGATAGTTTATTGTAACTATCATAGGGGATGATACCGTATTGGTAAGTGGATCATTGGTCGTGAATTATTAATCTTACCATTTAAATATAATAGAAATGGACAGTAGTAATCAAAGAATCATTTTGAAAGTTCATACATATTTAAGCTAAGATTTATTAGGGGTGTCAAACATTTCATTGGATGCACTGGTGCTACACTTGATGACCATGACTCAACTTATTCCTTTCATTATATCTTGTCTATAGAGTCGTACATTCCATTTTGCATAATTGCATATCATATCATTGGTAATATTGATACATTCACGCGCGAATAAAGGATATTCAATGATGCAATTTCACCAATTATCAATGCTCGATCTTCTTGAATTACAAGATGATCGACTATAATAGCTTTCTGCCCTGTTATAAGATTACAAAAAATAAACACTGTCCTTTTCGTTAACACAGTAATTACAAACAATCAATTGCACGATTCAGTCGATCACTCGATTATTCGGTTCTTACTCTAACAATGATTGTCAATTGGTCCTCGATGCTTCTGTCAAAAGTATGATCGATGAAAAATCACGGATATATGATGATTAATTTCGATTTTTCGCAATCATTACGTAGATTGTATTCAAAACGCAAGATTAAATACCAATGTTTACAAATAATTTTAAAAAATATGTTCAACATAACATTTTATGAATGTATTTGACTATCTGCATAAAATATTGAAGTTCTTTAAAAGTTCTAAGAGTCGAATGTTTATTAACATTGAAGTCATTTGAAGAAATGATTCTCTTGTCTTGAATAATGTAACAATCAATTTATTTCTTCGTGGCTTATCTATTAGTGCGAAAAACATCCTATAACAAACCAACCAATCGCATCCTTTTCTCGATAGCCATTTATTTAATGGACTGATTAATTTTGGTTCCTGAAACGACCTGGAAGAATCATGTAAAGTGTCCACTCGCATATGAACGCGCGAGAGAATATAATGAAAATACAATGATTAAAAAACGTTTGACTCATAGACGTAATGAAGAAGCCGCGTTTTTTTTTTTTTTTTTTTTTTTTTGATCACCATGCATGATTTGCAATTCTTCGCACGTACACGAGTAAATTTGCTATATTTGCACTTGAAGACTTTTTTATACAAGTCCAGACATTAATTATTATCGTTAATAATGATATAATTGCTGTCTGATAATTGCTGCTTTTATGATAGCTGCTTTAATGATAGTTGATACTTTTGAAATATTTTATAATCTTATAATACTTTTAATATATTTATTGCTAGTATCTTTATATCTTTATTCACTTAAAAAATTCCAAATTTGTTAGTTAACGTTAATTATGTTTAATTTTCTATTTGTTTTTGCAATTGACGTGAAATAAGATTATTCACACATTTTCGCGCACTTATTGAGATTTAATTCATGGATGCATACATTACTTCCGGTAGAAGAAAAAAAATATTCAAGCGTGACGCACCAGATACAGTGACCAAGCTAGTAAATATCACTTTCACACTAATAATTATATAGAATCGTTTGCAAATCTGTTTTCCTTTCGATCAGAATTATTACTTATCTCAACTCGATTTAATTGAGATTAGTTTTATCAATTTATTATTAAATAATTTTTCCTCTTTTTTTTTTACTTACAATTAGACTAATAAACATTGAATTTGTTAAAATATTCCACTAGAGAAACTATTATGTATATGATAGTAGAAACTATTACATTGTTACGGTTAGATGAATGAGTTCTCGGCTCGCAATATGGTACCGAGAAATTCTCAGGGAATTGGCCGAGAATAGAGATCGATCAAGGATGAATAATAATTCTGAACGAGCATCGATGAAACTCGAGCTCGGTAAAATTTCAAAAAGATCCTTCATTTTTTTCAAATTACGAGCCGCTTCTAATGAAGATGCATCGAGCGTGAATCTGACAGAGAAAGTTGTCTAGCATGATAATGAATTCCATTAAAGCTAACACGTATCCGTGTTATTCTTCTGAGTCTTCTTCACATACACTGTGCAATCATTTACGCTTACTTAAAAGTATGATTCTGTCACACAGTATGATCCACGATATTTACGATTGATGTTTTCTTCATAAGGCGTTCTTAAATATTTTTATAAAACACTCACACGAATCTGTCATTTTATTTTCAGTGATGAATGATCACCCGTGAATTATAAGCAACGAACGTAGGAGGTTTCGTGGAATCGAAAGAAATCCGACTGACGAACTCGGCGAACATCGGTCGTGTAGCTGTAAAAGGAGAACACCAGCGGAACGAAATCACGAGTGTGATTTCGGACAACGGACAGGTGGCTTATCGCCTTGGCAGCAGAGCATCACGTGCTCGTATGCGTCTGTGGAAGGCTGAAAGCTCGGAAAAGCGTGACCGTACGTTCGTTAAACGAAGATGAACAGAGAGATATTATAGACGGAGAAGGGAAGACAGCGTTTAGAGTGGCCCATTTCCCTTATCACGATAATACTGTACGATATAACTGTAACGGTAGTGCTTTAGAGGCGGCACGACAGAACACGAAGCACACGGCCAGTAAAGCCGAGAGTCGATTCAGGGTGAGTCATTTTCACATACGATCAGTCTGGTCGTGGATTGTAGCCGCGATGGATCAAACAACTGTGGGGTCGTCGCTATCCTTGTCGTTGTTGTTGTCATCATCATCATCATCATCATCATCATCATCATCATTGTCGTCGTCGTCGTCGTCGTCGTCGCCGTCGTCGTGGTCATCTTCGTCGATTGTGTCTCTTTGATCGGCAGAAAAAAAAGAAAGAATAGAACTCGAGAATAGTCCTTCGAGGAAAATGGACGTGGGACTGGTCACTCGTGCATCCTTGAATTCTCTACACATGGACGATGGCCGGATTGTCTCGCCGAATAGTTTCGACGAATGGACCTGGTCCAGCTTGCGAGTGAGTGCAACAATTTTTCGTCAATCGTGACTATGATCGATAACGCTGATTCGAACGCCGCAAAACTTATTAAAGACAATAGAATGAATGAATCCAGCTTACTCGCTCTGGAATCAAACGTTTTTGTTGCATAATAAGCGGTTTGTCATGGACTCATAGACATAGAAGAATTTTTTTTCGATCACACGAGTATTTCATATACACTGATAATCACGATAGTAATTAACGATTAACGTGTCAAGCCTGATACATGGAAAGAATTGAAGTTTCATTGAAATTCGAGTAATTAAAATTTCGTAGAAGGACATTTCACTCCTGAAAGATGTTTTTTTATAAATTTTTCGTAATTTATATATAATATTTTTCGTGATCGTGTTGAGCGATATGAGCGAAACCAAAGAATTTAATCTATTCACATTATAACGTTCTTCTTAAAGTCGATACATTTTGATCAAAAGATAATCCTTCCCATTTCTGTATCGTTCTAATCATAGATAAACGTGTCCGCTCGTTTAGTTGTGCTTCACACGTTTTGCAAAACATTCTCGACACGTACGATAATTGAATTATAAGGATGTTACGATGTTAGGATGAAAGGTGAAGACCGTGGAAGTGTACGCAAAAATTTACTATCTAATAATGTCGTGAAGATTTCCATGAAATTGCAATTGATTATCTTTGGTTTTATCTATCGAAGCCAGATCTCGATAACTTTTTAGCTGCATGCAATCGCATACGCGGAAAAATTGAAAAGTAGTTCGATGTTATATCGCGTTTTTTCCCCGTTCTATGATTCGATGACAAGTAAAAGTTAGGTTTTTTTTTTTTATGAATGATCGTTCGAACAGCTTATTTATTGCAATATTATCGTGCTTGTATTAATAGATGCCTAATTGATGTAATCGAAATAGAAAAAAATCTGTTTCATGTCCTTCACGGTAATTCAAAAATGCGTGGAAGTAATTGATAATTGAAGTGTACAGATCTTCGATCTGGCGCTAAGGTTTTATCTGCCAATCGTTGAAAATTTTTTTCGTTTAATAATAACTATTTATTCCTGTTTTCTTTTTGTTCTTTCTTTTTCTTTCTGATTTGTTACAAGAAATTTAATTCACGAAGCAAACCTCCCGTAACGTTGCTAATTAATTTTGTAAAGCAGATAAACAATCATTTTTTTCTAAACATTCTTATCTTTTTGCAAACTTTCAGAACAATGTACGGTAATGTCGTTATGATCGATATATGCCGTGTTATCGAAAATTCTAATCTCGTGGTCACAGGAATGCAAAACATTTTCTGATCGTTTCAGATCCTTCACGCAATATCAATTCTATTTAAAACTTATCGCCGTTCCTGTTTAGATCAAAGTGTATTACAGTCGAAATCATAACAACTTTCATACTTGGAGCACTATTTTTATTTGGAAATTGTTTTTCGAGAAATGATTTTTAATTTATAAAAAGTTTTCACAATGTAATTTTCATCTATTTTTTGTTAATTTCCTTGCACTACCAAGTTACAGAAACTTTAATTAATTTACAAACTAAGATCCTCTCTCGAGATACTTTTCAAATAATTCTAAATATAATTGATTTCTGTTAATTTACAGACTGAAATTCCTTCAAAACTCTGTTCAAATAGTATTAGAAACAATTATTAATTCTTTTTGTACTAAACTTTTTGTTTAGGAGACATAGTGAATTAAAATTTGGATCAAACCATTATTTTTATAACTATTAAAAATCTCTAATTCAACTTCAACTTCATTACCATCAAAATCATTTCTAAGACTCCAACACTCTATTCATCAATAAGTATGTCAATGTTTTTGTTATTAATCCATTCGCAACAATATTTTATATTATTTCATAAAACTCCAGAAGCTACATTTTAAAACCTAATATTCATCAATTATTGCAGATGTGTCACTTGGATTGATCTACGCTCTTAAATCATTCACAATCTCTAAAATTTCAAATTCATCAATCTTTAAATGAATCGTCTTGCACAATAATTCATTAACAAATATTAGTGAATCGACAAATTACAAGTTGTAGATTCTAAACTTTTTTGTTACAATTTTGCAACTTTACATCAATAGTAGAATACTCAAATGATTGGTAATTCATCAAATTCGTTTTCGGATTCCTTTTATTAACAAAATTACTGTTTAGGAACTCATTAATAGCTTATAACTTCATAAAATTTCATTAATAATATCAATTGAATGGTGCAAAAAAAACCCTCGGATCAATTTATGTATTATTAGCTCATTGAGCTATAAATCAACTTGCATACCATTCCTTTAGTTCAGATGTTCTAGTATTTTCTTCATCTTTCAAAATATATTGAAATATTTGAATGTTCCTCATGTTTTAGGTAAAGATATATTATGCATTACGTTATTACGAAATAATGATTGAATATTTTAAAGCGAGTAAAAAGAAACAAGAGAAACAAAGTACAAACGTTTCGAAATATGTAATAGATAGTAACATTTTAATTATCCAATATCATTATAAACTGTATTCTTAACTGTATCAACTATATATACTAACTTATTCACAACCAATTTAGATATTACGATCGAGAAACGAAGATATAAATATTATGACGATTGTGGTCGTATTATGACGAAAAGGAAGAAGGGACGGAGAAAAAGATGGTCGGGTCCGAGAGTCAGAGATTGAAGATCAATATTCACCGGACCGGACGAAAGGTTCGCGGGATATGAAAACGCACGCGCGAAACGCAGACGGGAACTCGTTCATTTCCCGGTGGAGAGAGTCTCGAGAGTTTCGCCGGGTTTCCGTGGCTTTCCTGTGGCAGGAAACCGTGAAAAGGGAGACTCGCGGCGTGTCGGGTGGAGGCGCGGCTGCGCTCCTCGATACTCGAGGCCCGATTTTTATCGTGCTTTACGAGCCGCATAATTCACATCAGCTACCGAGCACGTCGTTGATTTTGCATCAGACAGCCAGTGACTGTCGGAGATACGCGCACGTCGGTAATACCGAGTTCTTTTACTCCTCCATCGATGATAGTGTGACTGTTATGATTTCTAATCAAAGTGGTGGTTCTTCAGAAAAGAATTTTGTCTGAAGAATTATGTCGTGTATATATGAAGCTCTTAAAATCACTATATACTATTTGTATACTATTGTATTCCAAATTGAGGGAGTTTAATAGTGTCGGGAGAAGAGGAGATCCTATTTCATAGGAAGGTGCAATTTCAGATAGTGATTTTACATAGTGATTTTGGACGTGTTTAGTCAAATTCTGATAATTCACTTTACGTTGTAATATTGTTACTTTGACTTGTTCTTTATTTCTAAGTTCATTTTTATGTTAGCATCTTGCAATACTATGTTTTTCTGTGACGCAGTTGCATGTGATTCCATATTGGTCGGAGCGTAGGTAACGTTGAAGGATGTTTCCTGCGTTTTTCCGGGACTGGAAAATTTTACAGTAGTCTCTCTTTATTTGTCTCGTTGTGCATTTACTACTAAGAAAATAAAGCATCGTTTAAGGTTTTGTTTTTTTCTTGGTGTTGATTAAATCATATGTAACTGCGTGTACGTATGTAAATGTTATATTCTTTGAAAGAATAGTATGGCGAACACGTGTAATCCTCACTGTAAGACTGAACGTACGAATATATGCTCATTTGTGGAAAAATATTATAAAAGTAAGATGTGATGAATAATATGCTCGCCTATAGAAAGAGATTATTATCTATAATTTAATTAGAACCATAAAAAATAAGTTTTCTCTTAGAATAATCGCGTCGATTTCAAGTGTTTTCCTTCTTTTCGCCTTCTGATCACGGACGAGCCTTATTTTAAACGATCGACAGTAATGAAACACTTGCGCCTTTTCGAACATATACCTCTGTATTTAAGATTGTTTCCTTATCTATTTCTGTATATTTATTTTGAGTGTTCTAGTATCTCTAATTAGTCAAATTTTAAGCAGCTTCAATTTCCGAGTCGTTGGGAAACTAACGAGGCAACCGTGTACTATATCACGCGTTAAATTTAAATGGTCACAATGGTGAAAGTTGAAAGAATAGATTGCAAAATGTGTATCGCGTTATTTTTAGCTGTTTCAGTTATTAACCATCGAACCTGTTTCTATTTTTATTTTTCATTTAAATATATTAATTACTGTGTAGTCTCCTTTACAAATGAACCTTCGAAGGAAGCAACTGCGTAGTTTTTTTTTATTTGGACAATTTATCGTCATCTTTTATTGTCATTTTCATAAAAATGTTAAATAGTCGTCGATGAAGTGTCATAGTGTCGATGATGACAATGGTTAACTTATGTAGAAAGTTCAAACAACAATCCGATCACACATTGAATACATAATCTGACACGAGCTTTCACTTTCAGAAACAGTTCAAATACAAGGGCTTAGAGAAGCTGTTCACGATTTACCAGAGAAGAATTCAGTATGGTTATCTGTCGCTCTTCGTACTCCTACAATTGGCCCTTGGAATCATATATTGTTTGATCCTGATCACAATGGTAAGTAAGAAACAAAATACGAAAAAAATAAAGCGCTCCGTCTTCAAAGCTACGTATAATATCGTATTAATTACGTTGTCGTTTCGCTTAAATCTAATAAAACGAATTAAATCTAACTAATAATTGATTGGACTTTAACAAAGAAATGATTACTTATTAATCACTTATTAAAAGATAATACTAATAAAAACCGATATCCGAACTTAATTTTTTATTTCTATACCTACTAAAGAAAAGGAATAAAAATTGCAATTTTTAAATCGAACTTAATTTTTTCTCTAAATCCTATCACTATTATAAATATCATAGAATTATAATCATTTCTAAATAATCGTATACACAATTTTCGTTATTTTTAGTGAATCGATAATCTTCATTGATAAAGAGCAAGTTTTGTCCCTATTAATTTTATTTAATGGTCGCACTACATTCAAATTACAAAGAAAATTAATCGGTAATAGCGAGTAAAAGAAACACAAAGAAGACATTATGAACTTGTTCTACTTTTTCGTAGGTCAGCATAGAAAATTGTATACCGGATGTAGTAAACACCCTCATGAGCGCGTTACTCTGCCCGATAATCGCGCTTTTGTTCAAGTCGAAAATCGTCGCAAGGAACACCTATTTACCAGTCATGTTGTCCTGCTTGATCGTGGTACTGCTGGTAGTCGGTGATTTGGCTGTTCCTTTGTACTATACCATCCTGTATAACGATGACGTACCACCGATAAGGTAATGAACAACTGAGAAGAAAATTAGCTATTGGTTAATCGTGGTAAGATCATTTCAATTATCATCGGCGACTTTTATCAGTTCGTCATTTGTACAGTTGTTTTTCGCTGTGGTTCGCTGTTTGGATTTGCCTTCTCGAAACTGTTAGTAATTACGAAAGATCAGCAGGATCGATATTAATGACCATCGGTTGCACGAGCCATTTTCTAATAGGATCCGTGAGATATTTCCCTGGGCGGTCGTATTCTCATTTAATTTTAAATTGCCAGTTAATTGTAACGATCACTTTGTTAAAAATAGATGTTCTAGAATAGATAAGCAAGTACCATAAATCATTATCTTTTCATTATTCCGTCAGGATTAAGTTAATGAAATTGCAGGCAATTGATACCGTCGTCTATTTTTTGGTCTTTGTTTTTTTAAATTTCAACGTTAAATTTTTACGTTTTCTTTTTTTTTTTTTTTATTGTTGTACGTATTTATGTAGGAATTGTCCAATGAATGTAATAGGTAGTCGATAACGAAGATTAGATTAATGTATAATTCTCATTAGCAGATTCTATATAACAATCAGCTAATTGCGAGTCGTTTTACCCTTTTCTGCTAATGAACGCGTAACCGTGAACTTATAATCGTTTTCAACGCATGTGTATAATTGCGTTTCTTTTTTGCAGACCAGCGTATGCGACTCACGCGCTCTTGGCGTGTTACGTCTTCCTACCTCTCACGGAGAATCTACACGCTTTTATACTCGGAATCACTGCGACTATATGTTACTTAGCTACTCTTTCGTTAATCACTTACAGAAACACATTTGATTATAGTACGAAGGTAAAAATGAGTTTCGTTACTTATTGATGTAGGATTATCGAAGATAAATGTATTTTTAAATAACAAACTGTTGAGAGAATGATTAAATAATCTGATTTCAGATTAAATAAACTGACCGAATGAACGTATTATTTTAAAATGTTCTCGAATTTATTTAAACTCATTCTGAAAGATAGGCAGTATTTTTGACAGGGCAATGTTTAGAATTAAAGTGTAAAAAGTTAAAATTTTTTTAATTGAATTATTTTCTTACACTGTTGAAAGATTTTATATTGCAATATTCTAATTTGATTTATAAATCTTTCAGATCATTACAGAGAGTATATATCTTGCTTGCGTAAATGGTCTTGGATTATACTTCAGATTCATGAATGAAATCGTTATTAGACGATCGTTCTTGGATCACCGCAAGTGTGTGGAATCAACGCTGCGGTTGAATTATGAGAAAGATCAGGAAGTATGTTTCTATAAATGAGTTTAAACGTGGTTGTATATGTTTTCATAAAAATTCATAATAATCTTCAGGAACAACTTACGCGGAGTATATTGCCACAACATATAGCTGCGAAAATAAAAAAGGAATTTAGAGATATTTTTAAATTTATAGAGGAACATAAAAAACCTCCTCCTAAAGGAAGTCCACATAGGTACGTTTATTTGCATAATAAATAAATATGTTTAATCCTGAAGACATAGAAGTGTAACAAATGTCATTCATTGATTTTCAGTGACCTATGCGTCGAAACGCACAACAACGTAAGCATTTTGTATGCTGATGTGGTGAATTTTTCCGGATTAACAGTGACATTGCCCGTACGAAAATTGGTAGAGACACTGAACGACTTGTTCGGTAGTTTCGACGAGGCTTCCGAAAAACATAATGTTCTCCGTATCAAGTTCCTAGGTGATTGTTACTATTGTGTAAGTGGAGTGCCAACTCCGAACTCCCAGCATGCGAAAAGCTGCGTAGATTTAGGTAAATATATTTCAAAGTATGTACATATCTGTTATTTTTTATTTTCACTTAGAAATCTGGCTCGTGTTGTAGGGCTTGATATGATAAAGATCATTAAAGACGTGAGAGCTAAAGTACGACGCGAGAGTGGCGTGGATGTAAATATGAGAATAGGGGTTCACTCTGGCAACATAATATCGGGGATCCTGGGTAACAACAAGTGGCAGTATGATGTTTGGTCACGTGATGTCGTTATAGCTAATAAAATGGAGCAAACGGGAAAACCCGGCAAAGTTCACGTTACGCAGCAAACATTGGACCTCGTGAACGCTAACGAGTATGATTGCGTCCCAGTAGAGTCCTTGAATGACGAGGTTCTTAAGAAATACGGAATTCGAAGTTACCTGATCACACCTTCGATTCCGGATTCACCGACTACGCAGGTGCATATTTCCCAGTGGCGTAGGAAGCCTGTAGTGAACGACATTTGTTTAATAATAGAAAATTTGTTTGCGCTTAACAATGTAAATTTCCTACGCCACTGACATATCTTCTTAACCGTTGAACGAACGTGCGTCGAGTGTGTCGTATCGTTGACAGATGAACTTTGTTGCAGAACAGCGAGAACAACTTGACAGTCATGACTCCGAGTACCCCACCGCCATGCAACAAGCATTACGTGAAATTCTACTTACGATCCAGTAGCGTGAATTCTGGATCAAGAAACAGTAGACGTTTTACCGCCACTATAAATAATCATGTTGACGTATTCACTAGCTCTTCTAGACGCCGTACACACTTCATGGACTCCTGTTTGCGAGATTATCATCTGATGCTCAAAGCTGCGGATGCAGAAATGGAGAATGCTATTAAGAAAATGCCTCTCACTAAGGGGGAGTAAGTATATCTCTATCTCTAACTTACTTAGCCACTTTGATATATTTTATACAAAGTAAAAGATAAATTTCTTGGATGATGTTGTAGGCAATGGTGCAAATGGGAAGATATGAATCCAATATTTTTAACATTTCAACAGTGGAATTGGGAAATACCGTTTTTGAAAGAACCTGATCCACTTTTTAAATTTTATATCAGTTCCGCTGTGTTTGTCCTAATTTTTATGGGGCTTATTTATTTGGTACCTGCGCTTTCTCTTTCTGAGTATGTTTACTTTATAAGAATATTCATTAACAATATAAATAAAATTGGATAATTCTTAACGCTTAATTAATTCATAGGTGGCATCTAAGCACAGCGATTAGTTATGTGACAGCGATATTATTTTTGATCGCTTTAATGCCAATAGCTTGGATGCACTTCGCGTGGAATCGGTATAAAGATCCGCATGATGAACAAGAAGGACACGTACCTCATCCTCACAATAAATTATTGTGTTTTCTATATCAAACTAGTATAAAGGTTAACATTCTTGTATAGTTAATCTTTCACATGATTTTTATAGTACTGAGAATTAGTTTTTTATTACATTTCAGGTTGTTTGGAGTGCATTCCTTAGAACGATTTTGTATTTGGTGATAACAATAATGTTAGCAGCGTGTGCTATGTTTGATATGATTGTAAGTTAACAATGAACATGAATACTATATTGAATATTAAATTATCGATTAAAGTATTTAATCGTTGTGTAATTTCAGTTTGAATGTAAAAATGTGAGTGAGCTTGAAAGCAATAATATAACATCCAGCATAATAGAGCCTGACGCCGCGAAATTTGATTGCGTGGCTACACCTTGGGTAAGATTGTTTAGTAGGTACTTGTATGTTGTAGATTCTCCTTAGTTTCCAAAATATTATATAACGTTTTTAATTTCGTTCAATGATTGTTTCTAGCAAATGACGCAAACTTGCTCTTTGGCAATTTTGACCAGTTTTTTGTTTTTGAGACTCCATTATATTTTAAAGTTAATAATAGGTACCACAGTAGTGGTATTTTATTCGTGGAATGTTTGGGTATATCGTTCAAATTTATTTCAGGTAATTTTGATCAGCACCTTTTTAATTTCTATCTTTCTATGATGAATGTCGATTGCACTTATTTGGAATTTTTTTCACAGTCAGGCGAAAGATGGAATCCATATTTGGAACCAAGATTGGCACATGTTTTAAGCATAATCTTTCTTAGTTTTTCTTTGCACTTGATAGATCGTCAGGTGAGTGTACTCTAATTAACAATTGTTTCTTTAATAATACGTTATTTATATGTATTAATTCAAATGTAAATTTATTCAGGCAGAATACTTGAGCAGATTAGACTATTTATGGAAGCGTCAATTAACTAAAGAACAAGATGAAGCATTCCATACAAGGAACGCTAATAAACTTCTACTTCGTAATATTTTACCAGAACATGTTGGTATGTTAATATTCAAGTAATATTAAAATTCATTCAATTACAATCGTAATTATATCATGTATCAATTTTATGTAGCGGAGTTCTACTTGAATATGAACAGAACAGAAGAAAACGAGCCTTATCACGAAGCTCATAATAATGTGGCCGTCATGTTTGCTTCATTAACGGATGTCTCTATTGATGGAAGTAATACTCTAGCAGACCTAAATGAGATCATATGTGAATTTGATAAATTATTATTTGAGCCATACTATGTCTATCGAATTGAAAAAATCAAAATTGCTGGTAAATGATTAAACAAAGATAAGAATTTTTGAATCGCTATTCCAGATGTCATGGAGACATAATGGATGTTATGTTACGATTGTCTTAGGTACTACCTATATGGCAGCTTGTGGATTAGAAGCCGGTCGGCGAGATTCGATGCACAGCGCAGAAAGTGAGGAAAATTTCAATGACAACGTGATAAAAGTTATGGCCCAATTTGCGGTTGAAATGATGGCAGTTCTAGATAAATTGAAAAGAAAGTCATTTTACACATCGAAACCTTATAGGTACTTATATCATGCAAATTTATATTTGAATTGTTTAAAGGAAAGTATTGTTTCAGACTAAGAATTGGAATATCACACGGCGAAGTAACAGCAGGAGTAGTAGGCGCTCAGAAGCCATTGTATGATATTTGGGGTGATGCTGTGAATATGGCATCTAGAATGGACACGACAGGTGTTCCGGGGAAAATACAGGTTCAATTAAAACTAAATTTTGGTTTAAAGGAATATCTTTTCTACTTTTTTTTGAGTAATAATCATTTACACAGGTTACGGCAGAAACTGCAGCTGTTCTCGAACAACAAGGTATCAAGTGTCATCTTCGAGGAGAAACGTACGTTAAACCGAAAGGATTTGTTACAACGTACTTCGTTGGTATCGATGATAACCTACAGCTTCAAAGAACAGATTCTATTGAGGAGACTAGTCTGTGATTGAAACTCTAACTCGACCTTTAAGCAATTACTGCGGTAACGATGTGAAAAGTGAGATATTAGGTATCTAAGTGAATATATACAGACACAAGAGAAAAACCAAAGAAAATTTGAAACACCAAAGAATCGACAGAAAAAAAAGGAACGCAGTCAACGACTGTATCACTATGCGGAATACCTCAATTTATTCAGTCGAATATAGTAAAAATATACGTACGTGAAATATGTTTGCAATCATATGCCTTGAAGCCGATTATTGACACATTATTACAAATCGAAGATGCCAGTTTTAATAACAATTTTTTACGTAATCATTATTCATATAAAGACAACATTCGATTATTTGAAATAATTCATATTGTAAATAAGCAAAGAACTTCTACCTAGTGATATTTGGAAGACATTATCCTAAATAATGTACAATCCATTGAAAGTATGAAAATCTTGTAATTGATGATAAAAAAAAATTTTCAAGAATAATTCGTTGCAAATGACAATTCGAAAGATAATCAAAAGAAATGAAACGTATTATTTATATCATTGCATGCAAATGATAATGATGTTTTCTAGCTGTATGTTAAATGTATATACAGTATTTCGCGTTTAATTAACAGGAATGTAGTTAGTTGGAAATATTTATTGACGTAGGTTTTTCCAAGTTTTCATGACAATGCGAACGTTTTGAAAATTGATGTACAAACACATTTTCATGACGTTCACTGTAAAGTTAAAAAGATACTATAATATCGAAGATGCTCATAAGTTTTGAAACACAGTCCTAAAATACCTGGACAACTTTAAATTCTTTTTCATTTCATGTCTAATAACAGTTTCATTATTAATTCGTTTCCATTGCGTAGCTAATTTTTGATAGATAATTAAACAAATCCGGGTGGATTTTCATTGCTTAGGGATTGTTTCTTCTTAACGAGTAAGCAAACAACATACAAACATGTATAAAATGGCCCCACGAATCTAAACGTATATGAGATTTGTATTTATTGAGCAAGTAAAAAAGTAATTTTTATCGCATAACATCAATGAATCTATAATGCCCACAGGCTATGCCTGAATCATTTTTAATTTTTAAATTGTTCTAGAAGAACAAATGCAGTAATTTTTTAAATACATCGTCTCTTTCTTAATTTATAAACCACACATCTTATAAACTAAGCTTCTCACCCTGGTTATGAGTAGAGGTACGAATTTATTTTTCTATCAACTGTATGTATCATTGGCGTGACAAACATCAGTTTATTTCTTTGTACATATTTATATATATATATTTTTTTTAAACATTAAAAGATAACGACCAATGTGATTTAAATAAAGTATTTATTGCTACATATACGAGGTGTAAATTTTGTATACAAACACAAAAGCATTGTAACGAATGTTTATATTATGTGTCTTTAGCTCTTTGTTCTCTATATTAAAAATACTTATATTTTTATATAAATCTTATATTTTAACTTATGTATAGATAACCAATAACTTATATCTTAACTCTGTTTCTTTCTCTATTGTTCTTCTCTTTTTATTTCTTAAGATATTGCATCTTCTTGGAACAATAACTTTCGGAATTTTTTTGAATCTATCGGTTAAACATCTTGAGATAAGAAAGACATTACTCTTGGCAACAGTATAATTAGAAGATATTTTTAATAAAACGGAAATACTGGTAGTTTTAACGTTACTTTCATAAGCACGAGAACTTTTAATTCAGTACGAAAATATATGTCTTACTTACGTACAATTATTTTCTATTTGGTATTATCCTCTATGAACAAGTATAATAGATACACGTTGAACATATTTTATTACATTGGAATTTAACAAAAAAATTGATCTTTTACTATTTCATGGTAATCATCCTAGTATGTAGCAACACGCTCTATAAATACATTCTTAACATATTCTCGCATTATTCATGAACGTAATTTTAATTAATGGAAAAAAAAGTTACTCATTCGATTTACGAAAAGATTGAAAAAAACAACGAAGTATTCTTTATATATGGTATTTATTGCGTGGTATTTAACAATTAAATGCATGCGTGCTTCATTTTTTCTTTTTTTCTTTCTTTGCGAAAATTGAGAATATAATCTGCCAATTTCTCGACAAGTGCCAAGACGAAGATGGTTTCACATGCGTAATGGCCTCGTTTCTTTCGATCGGGAGCGGCATTTATTTATCTCGACACGATTCGTGTACGGGACTACGTATACACCGTGCGACAGACGGTGATGGCTATATTCATTCAGACTTGCTTTAGGCGTTATCGATTTACGAAGTTCTAGAGCTTCGCGTAGTGAACTTGGTTTATTTCGAGCGACAACAAAAAAAAAGGGATCGACGCGTGCCTGGTCTATTGCACGGAGAAATCGTTAATTTGTTCGATCCGTGAACCGTGTGAGTCACCTCACGAACCCATCCTTCTGCCAGTGCTAGTCATTTTGTTGACAGCCGTGGAACAAGGATAGACTGATAACGTTTTACTCCTTTGACATTTCAACTGTCATTGCGTTTTTCGTTTCGTTCCGTGATTTCTCGCAAAACTCGACGTTTTTGTGAACTACGCATCGAGAAACCGCAGACGGGAAAACGATCAGTCGCGATCTTTTCTTTTTTTCTTTTTATTACGTTACCGTTATCATATGCAAACGAATCCAGTGTACGTACGAGAAATTACGAAAGTGATTCTTTATTGCAAGTGATGAGTCAATGAGAGTATAACCTCTAAGGAGGTTACTGTCACGCGTAGCAAGTAGAGCACATAGATTGTACTTTATATATTTCCGATCTTGTTTGAATAACATAAAAGCAACATGGATATCGGATTTTCATCGTACCACAATGGTGGACCAACGAGAGAACAAGATTTTGGCAGATTGTCGCAGACCATCGGCACATCAATTTTAAAGATATCCCAAAATGGTAGGTACGCGGATTACGTTAGTTAGAAGATATATTCAATAATCATTCTTGGTTTATGTTTGACAGTGTCTTCTATGCAAAAGATGGTCAATCAATTGGGCAGCTCTTCAGATTCTCAAGAACTGCGAAATCAGCTGTAAGACGTTATAAACAAGATTTGGATCAATTATATTCTGTGTACATTCTCTTCCCTGATTATATGTTTTATACAATTTTTAGGCACCAGATACAACATTATACACAACAGTTGGCAAAAGACACTAGTGTACATCTTCGAGATTTGGCTATATTGGCTAATAATTCAGGATCTACCAGTCCTGGCGAACAAAGACAGCGTAAAATGCAGAGAGAACGTTTACAAGATGAATTTACAAGTGCATTAAATTCTTTTCAAGTATGTTTATAAAAATGTCCTGTATATATATGTGATCTAGCACATTCATTTACATATATAAACTTAATTTCGTAGGCAGTACAAAGGCTTGCAGCTTCCAAAGAGAAGGAAATGGTTAGAAAAGCTAAAGCGAATGCAGGTATTACACCATTTGGCGAAAAAAAGCAAGAGACGTTGATAGAGTTACAAGACAGCAGAACTCAGAAACAAATGCAGCAACAGCAGTTGAAAGAAGAACAAAACTTGCGAATGTTGGAAGAACAGGAAGCAAGTATAAGACAACTGGAGGTACACATCTTTTTACTTTAATGATATATTTCAACTTTTCAAGTCGTTTTACGATGATTATATTTACAGAGCAATATTAGCGATATCAATCAAATTTTCAAAGATCTTGGTGCTTTGGTATATGATCAAGGAGAAGTTATTGATTCTATAGAGGCTTCTGTTGAAAGAACAGAAGTATCTGTCAATGAAGCTACTTCTCACGTAAGACAAGCAAGCATGTATCAAAATAAATTGCGCAAGAAAAAATGCGTACTTGCTCTTATCGGAGCGGTCGTGTTGTCTATATTAATTGGAATCATTGCTTGGCAAAGGTCTTAAAATATTCAATAATACGAAGTGATGAGAAAAGACGTAGCTGCATCTTAATTACAAGGTACCATGTTGTATATGGTGTATTTTTTGAAAAACTTTTGATTTGGTTTAAAATCGCTTTACGAATACGAAGAGAAATTAGTACTATCAATGGAAACGAACGTAATGGAAGATGAACTTGCATCGTACTATAATCTTATTAATAACATTCTTATAATTGTGATAATAAATGGTGCAAGATCTATTTTACGAGTAAGATGTGCAACGGCCAGTCTAAGACTGCCCAGTCCATTTGTACGTTTCATTATTCATTGTGTAATATTAGTGCGTATATACATGCGTATAAAAAAAGTATATGAATATATCCATTCATGATATAGTCGTGATTAATAATCTCACATAATTTTAGGGAGCATAATATGTGAATATTAACGATTCATTTTAAATGACATTGTGCATTTCAAGAACTAAATCCTGCGTGAATTGTATGAATCAATACAGAGTGAATGAATTGATATAATCATTGTATAGTGTATAAGTTTCGAACGTCCCACGAAAAATTATTCTTATCTGTAAACATTAAGATAAAAGTATTGCTACGGTCATTATGAAACAGCAGAGTACGTGAATGAGAAATCATTGTAAGCTAATGTATTATATTTAAAAATGTTGATTTATTTTAGCCAAAATGTAATAACTCATGTAAAATGAATTATATATATATACATATATATCAAATTTGAAAAGAAATGTTTTATTATTTCGAAATTGAACAATTACTAAATTATTTTAAGAGAAATTTTTGTTTTTTATTATGTCTGATTAGCAATAGTAAAAGTAATATATAGTTTATTCAAATTTTCAATCTGTTATTTCTACAATTAAATATATGTTTACAAGTTTACATATTTAATATTGTAATTAAAACGCGCCATATTGTTTTATATCGATGCGATCTATCGATTGTATATAAAGTTCATACCATCTCACTTGTCAGTCTTCATCGCTTACTGCGTGTCGGTTGATAGTTTACACTTCTGTTCGCGCGATGTATTAATTATTCTGTTTGAAAATACGTTTGGCTCGCGAGTTAAATGTATCGAAATAATAAAGAAAAACACATATTCAACGAAAATTTTAAGAATATAATGTTGAAGCACATTTTCGCTGCAACTGTGATTGTATTAATATGTCTGTCAGGATCTGAGGTTAGGGTATCAATTTAGAAAATAACAAAATCCATTTACTATAATACATAATCTCCATGATCCATTGCAGGCGCAATACGATGACAAACGATGCAAGTGCATTTGTCCTAGCCTTCTCTCCGTTATAAATACAACGCAATCATCGTCAGAACGAAAAACGTATATCATAAATGTTCCACCATCCGAATGGTAATCAAATTCTAATACCTAATTAAGAAATATGTAATCTCTCATCTGTAATACGTGTATGGTATTAGCATTATATGTATGTAACTTCATGTAAATTTTAATCCGCAGTAAATGTGAAAATGTTGTCTTATCAAAAGTGGGAGATCAGTTGAAAGGTAAAGAGGAAATTTTTTGTTCACGATGTGATTGCAAATATGAAAATAGGAACACTACCATTATTAAAGTAAGTCTCTTTTTACTCTCTTATTTAAAGTAAAAAATTTATGGAATAATTTGCTTTTTCAGATAGTAGTGATACTTGTTATTTGGGTTATATCACTGTTAGTAATTTATATGTTATTCCTGATTTGTTTGGATCCATTATTGAATAAAAGAATTCATAAAGCTTCAACAAATATTGGCTATCATGAACATAATAATGAAGATGTAAGTTAATACATCTGAAGACTAAGATATCAGACATTGAAAACATCTTTTGAAAATTAAAATATTAAGTATTTAATTTGAAATATATTATTTAAATCATTTTTTTTTTTTTTTTTTTTTATAGGATGATTCTTCAACAGCTCCTGGAACATTTCATGCTATGGGTGAAAGAGGTAATGTTCTAAATCGTGTTGGTCATCAACAAGATAAATGGAAACGTCAAGTTCGTGAGCAGAGGCGTAATATTTATGATCGGCATACCATGCTTAACTGAAGTGTATAGTTTATAGAAAGAATTAAATATAATAAATAACAATACAAAGGCTGTGACATTTATTTGATGGCATTTACAATTCTATATATAATTTTTTCAGATTATTTTACATATAAATATGGTAAAATACTAATATGAAATGATAAAAAATAAATAATTGAGCTATTTGTAAATGCTAGCAAATCTGGTCATGGATTGCATCAACTATATAGTTAATAACTAAATTTTTTGAGTAATGTATCAAACAATAACGTATTGAAATATGTTATTTGTATAGGTAAGTGTATATATTTCTATGAAATATTTATTTAAAAATAAATTGAATTATTACTATTAATTATTATTTATACAGCCTGATATTTATGAACTGTTGTATAAATAAATAATTTCAGTATATGGAATAATGATTATTATCTTTCATAGCTCAATTTATAGGAAATCAATACAATTTTGTTTGTTATTAATTTACGATCATTTAACATTTGAATGTGATATCATTTGGACACTTTAGATAAGTCATTACCACGCAATGTATCTTCAAAGAAGTCTTTAATTGTATCATATAGTGTTAAAACTAATGCTCCACCAGTACCTCTGAGAATATTTGATAATGAACCCTTAAAGAAGGCTCCAATACCTTCAGTCTTAGCTGTTTTGATCCAACAATCTAATGAATTTTTATACATGATTTCTGATTTACTAAGTCCTGATTGCATCATCATACGTCTTCTAACTGTATCAAAAGGATATGATATGACACCTGCCATTGTTGTCACTATCTGTGAATGATACGTGTAAAAGTCATAGAAGTCTGAGAAATTTAAAAATAATAAAATACTAAATAATAATATACTTGAGCAATTAAAAAGGTAACGTGCAAAGGAATGCTTTTTGGATCAGGAAGCATGTTTTTTGTGGTATCGTAAAAACCGAAATATGCAGCTCTATAAATAATAATTCCTTGAACGCTCACATTAAAACCTCGATACAAACCAATAAAGCCATCTGTCTTAAAAATTTTTACTATACAATCAGCTAGACCTTTAAATTCTCTTTTATCTCCCTTTCCAATATCTGCAGCTAATCTGCAAAGTACATTATTATTGTATTATTTAAGGCTATGGAAGCCTAGTATATTACCTTGTACGAGCAAAATCAAGTGGATACACAAATAAAAGAGATGTGGCTCCAGCAGCTCCACCAGAAGCTAAGTTTCCAGCAAACTGTTTCAAAAACGCATCTTTTGGAACACCTTCCAAGAATATAGTTTTGAATTTGTCTTTAAATGCGAAATTTAAAGCTTGAGTTGGGAAATATCGAATTACATTAGCTAAATTCCCTCTCCAAAAACTACGAAAACCAGTTTCTTTCGGTATGCGTATAAATGCATCGATCATGCCTAATAAAAATCATGCTACAATATGGAAATATTATTTTAATTTATACATTAAAATTGTACATACCCTTATACCGATCTTCTGGTCTTATTTGTTTTGAAGTATGTTGAACTTGGAGTAATAACTTTACTCTTTCTAATGGTGCAACTGCCGTTTTTGATACGGCTGCAGATATCCCACCAGCTAAAAAATCTATTAAAAATGATTTATATGTGTCCATACTACAAATTTTTTAACACATGTATATATCAGAAATAGATTTGATTTTACAGTGATAAAATCGATTCAAATTAGTAATCATAACATTAACACAATTTTATGGATCAATTGCCTTTGTAACTTTATTTTTACATAAAACATTTTTTCAACGTATGGAAACTGCAAATCAATAAATGTTAATCCACGTTAACGACACGAGCTTTTTTTATAACGGATTAGTTTGTAACTTCTATTGTTTTTTATTTTTGTTTTTAATTTATGACGTCGGGATGGGTAAATCAATATACAGGAAATTTGATTTTAACGTTTAATCGCTTTACATAAAATTGAATCTTCTTTTCATTAATTTAAGGCGTTCAATTGGTCATACAAATTTTGTCATCAAAGCTCTCAAACACGTCTCAAGAACTATGACTATATCATTTTTTATTCGTACAAAGAGTTTTAGATCACAGTAAATTCTAGCTAAATTGACGCAAAATATATTAATGCATTTTTAAAAGAAGATAAAGTATAACTAAATAAAGTTTAAGGAGTGTTACTTACATAATTACTTAACATCAAACCACATCGAACAAGCGTTAAATATTAGCACTTTCAGTTCTAAAATTCTTATATTCATTAATTATATTAATACTATTGAAAGGTACACATAGCATATTTAAAGGAATGTTCCGGCACATAGTGGCAAAGTTATATATGTATGGACAAAACTGGACCATCTTTGGTCAATATGAAATTCAAAAAGATATATTTGCATTTGTTTCTCTTTTCTCCTAAGTGCATAAAAAACTAATTAAAAATATAATAAACATAAAAATTTGGTATAACTTCAACTTATTTCATCTAATACAAATAAAAATATTGTACTATAATGAGTATTCAATACCCATTAAATAAAACACACATTCACTGCCTGTGTAACTTAGGCATTCATTGCTATCTATTGCACACCTTTCAAGTGATGAGATGCGAATGTTGTGCGAACATTTTTCCAATATATAATCTATTTTCGAAAATGTATACCAATTTGAATATTTCTTTTTAAAATATCTGTTCAAAATTGGCACTAATTGAAAGTGATTTGTTATCCTCAATTAATTGGCAGTGAAAGTACTGAACATTTTATTTAACAAAATATCATTAAAGTCAAAACTTATGAGTTGTCTCTAATATGCAACAGCATATTAAAATAAATGTGTATATCAAAGACTTTATACTTAGTACGAGTATGAATGTGGTCAGGAAATATTTAAAACTCTTGTACCATTTGATTAAGCCGCATGAACAGACTGAAAAAAATTATAATTATGTTCATCACTCGATCAATCAAAAATAATTTAATAATTTAAAATATTATTTTCTATAATTAGACATACCTTTGCAATATCTACGCCTGTCAAATTTTTAACCAATTCTGGTACGCGCGTCACTATATTAAACACTTCTTCAGTCAGTTTTTCTGCACCAATAGTTCCATTTCCACTAGAAACCATTGTTATCTTTTTGGCTTGTGATAAAGGTGCTGCAACTTCAGCTGCAACCTGTGAAATTCAAGGTGCAAAAGATGTTTATATTATTCAGTTGACAAAAATCGTTAAAATTAGGATATAAATTTTTGTTTAGTTACCTTTGGAAGAGTATCTAACATCATATCTATCATAGCAGCACTCTTATATTCGTTCCATGCAGCAGCTTTTTTTGCCATTTGTTCTGCTTCCGCTTTAGCTTTTGCTTCAATGGCAAAGGCTTCTGCTTCCCCACGAATTTTGATGGCTTCTGCTTCGGCTTCAGCTTCCATTACTAAGCGCAATTTATTAGCTTCAGCCATTTTTTCTAATCTGTAGATAGATAATATTTGTCAATACTTGCTTGTCAATTTTTTAACATTTCAATTTACCTATATTTTTCTGCATCAGCTGGACGTCGTACAGTTGCGTCCAACTCACGTTCACGTCTCATCATTTCTTGTTCTTGTACCGCAATTTCTTGTCCACGTTCAACAACTTTTATTTGCATCTGTTCTTCCATAATTCTTTGTTTAGTTTTTGCAGCTTGCAATTCAAATGCCATCTCGGCTTCTGCTTTCTAATAAGACATAAATCAATAAGACAATAGCAAACAAAAAATCAACAAGATAACAATAATTTTCAAATAAGACATAAATCAATGTGCTATCAATTTGAATAATAATAAAGATAAAGAGACTTACTTTCGTTTGCACTTCGACGTCATATGCAGCTTTCTTCAATTCGAAATCGCGTTGTGCTTTAGCAATTTCGGTATCATTAAGAAAACGGGCAGCCATTCTCTGTTCTTCAGCAATGGCTTCGCGAATTTGAGCATCTCGACGAGCTTCTGCCTCACCGATTCTTGCATCACGTTTCACTTCAGCTGTTCGTGCCATACCAAGAGCTTTCAGGTATCCCTATAAATGATAGATGAATATTTAATATAACATAATCAATAATATTGCATTTTCATTATAAATTTTATGTAATAACATTCATTTTAGTAATTATTTTGAATTCAACCTGAATTACATAAAGGCAGCATACAATATAAGAATATCACACATATTTAAAACAGAAATTTGCAAATGTGTATAGAATATTTGTGCTACCATTGAAGCAAACACTTGAGATATGCTCTAGTTCCTTTTTATTCAAATATTAACGATCTGTACTAATATTGTTTGAACAGCAGTGCAGTAGCATTATATGTAGTGATAAAACAAAATTTGAACGTACCTTTGCCCCCTGCAAGTAGCAAAACAAAAACGTATTCAATTTACAATGTACAAGAATTGGACGACTCATATTAGTAAAAAAATTACTTATAAATATCATATAACCACTTAAAGGGGGACTTTTCATATCGAAAAAAACTTTATACATAGCTATATTAGAATTTTTAATTTTGTACTTTTTGTATAAAAATTTTTCCTGAGTTCGGCATTAACGGTCAAATGTTACTTAATAGGGAAAAAAAGAATTAACTTACCTCTTCATCTCGAATATCTTTTAAAGTATAGGACACAACAGTAATGCCCATATTGACTAAATCACTGCTTGCTACTTCAAAGACTTCTTTGCTGAATTTTTTACGATCCTTATATATTTCCTATATCACAGAAGTGAATTAAATTAAATTAACATTTACTTTTATTTAATAATTTAACAACAGCAATTCAATGAAATGTTATTTATTATACCTCTACAGTCATGCTTCCCATTATTGCGCGTTGATGTCCTTCTAGCGTTACAAGTGCAATATTATGAATTTCTTCTTCAGTTTTACCAAGAAACTGTTCACATGCTGTAGATAACATTTCCTCATTTTGGCCCTGTATTTTAACCTTTGGTATATGTAAATATATAATAAATAAATTATTTATTTATATACGAATACCTTAATTATATTTTAAACTAATATCTTTTGTTACCTGTGCAATTCCTGTTACAGATATTGGTACACCTTGACATGTATACACTGTTGGACTTTCTACTTGTAAAGTCATAGTATTCAATGAAATTCTGAAAAATGTAAGATTCATTTATAATGAAACTATTACTTATATATTCATATATAATGAAACTATTACTATCATTTTTTTTGTATACAAAAAACAAAAATACAATTACACATAATTTTACTTTTAACTTTACATATAACAACTTACTTACTTTTGTACTTGTTGGACAATAGGCCAAACAAATACCCGACCACCAGGTACTAATAGAGGTTTGCTGTAGCAACATCCTTGAAAATGAAGCGTAAATCAGTGGAAATAAATATCAATGTATCATATGATTTCATATTGGTATTGTTTAAAAGCTAGATGTACAATATAAATCGTAAAGTAATGTGACTTAGAATTAAACACGCAAAATTAATAAAAAAAAGAAAATAATTAATGATATGCCGTTTAATTAATTTTTCTACTTTATTGCGAACTAAATTTTTTAACTCAATTAATTAACAAGGTACTCCATGTCGGCTTAATTCAACGTTCAGAAACCAAGCAATTTGCAATAGAGATCAGTCAATATAACTACCTGACACTACGAGGGCCTCGTTTGGCCCGCAAGTAACAAATCCACAACTCATAGTCGCAGTGTGCAGAAAAACAATGGTTACGGAAAGTTTAAAGGGATCGAATTTCCGTGTAATCCCCTCACACTCAATTGACGTCGCTACGATGTCGTCATTCTGCAAGATCGTATCGGAGCTTATGCCGAGTTTACAATACTCTTCATAGGCAAATTCGTGCTATTAAGTTTTTTATATCTAATAAAGTTTGATCTTGTACTTCAAGGTATTTTTATTAATAATTTTACAATATAAACTAAAATTTATTTTATACATTATACATAAACATAATATTCAATATAAATAATAAACTTCATTATAACTTTTTATTTCTGTTATAAGTAGTTTCAAAATCGTCTGAACTGTTTTTTGAATCTTTCATAATGATAGTCATCAGTTGCTTTTTCTCCGTTGTCTTTTCTTTTTCCTTTGTAATCATCTCTTGGTGCTATTACTTTCTTTTTGTCGTCAGAGTCTTGTTTTGATTTTTGGAAATCTGTATCTTCTATATTAACTGAAAAAAAAATAAAACATCATTTATGTTATAAGATTTGATTTTGATATATTATAAGATATAAATAATGTACATCTATTGTGTTGCACAAAATTCACAGCCATATTTGTTGGTACAAATTGCGAAGGACCGTCCTTTTTTCTGTGTCTGTCCCAAAGCAATTTTAATTTAGCTTCCTCTGTAGCTTCAATATTACGAATCTTCGCTCTGAAAAAAAATCTTTTTATATGCTATTTTTATTATAAAAGAAAATCAAGTATAATCCTATAAAATAGCGTACTCTATTCCAAGATCCACTTCTGGAATACCAGATAACATTTGATTTGAAAGCATCTCTTCACTTCTGTGTGCAGAGCTTTGTCTTAAATGCTCAGGCACTGCCTGCAAAGCTGCTTCTTCTGGCGAACAATAAGATCCTTTGTCATTATTTTGCCCATTCTCAGTTGTGCCTTCAGTTTTACTTTTTCTTTTTGATAATTCTTCTTCAATGTATTTCACCCTAAAGAAATAAGAAACCATTAATTAAATATTTAATGAATTACATCAATCTCATAAGTGTAATTACATCTCTTCATCTTCATCTCGCTTGTTAGTTTCTGCGTTAAATTGTGTGCCAATACCAGTTTCATACGCATCATTTTGCTTTAATTTGGTGTTCTTTAACGCAGTCATGTTTACCATCCCTCCAGTTTTTACGTTAAAAGGATCTGACTGAAAAGAAAATCTTTTAAAAAAGAAATTGATAGCTATACCTTACTTATTAATTGTAGTATCATTGCTCACCGTCATTACATCAGGTGTTACATTTTCTCCAAGAGCTAGTCCAACAACATTTATACCTTTTGGTCGTTCACGAAGTTTTTGTATAACTTTCATCTCTTCAACTTTTTCCCTAAATAAATATTTCTATATATAATCAATAATTTCTAAATGATAACTGTTTTATTATTAAACTGCATAATCATTTTATATTTATATTTGAATTTGTAATTTACCTGACAGACTCTTCATTTTCGTTGTCATCCTCATCTGATGAAACCTGCCGTTTTCTTATTGGTTTTTTCGATTTCTTTTTAAATTCTATTTTCTTTTCTTCCGTGCTGGTCATCTATTTTGAAACAAATAATTAAACAAGAGATATATACTATTTTACACTTTATTTGCATATGTCATTTTGTAACTTGTGTCTTACGTTGTATATACACAATTTTTACTACAAATAAAATCAACTTTTTTGTAAATAAACAGTAACTGAATTCAAACAAAGATGAAAAAAGTTACAAGTTAACAAATACAGGGAAATAACACACGTTATAAAGTTTTGTATAATTTATAAAATATAAGCTGCAGCGTTGTGTACATCCCGTTAACATCTGTATTTCATAGATTACAAATGTATCAGAAAGTTACTAGAAAATATTTTATGGTTCCTTTCTAGATCTATAAGTTTCCTATCTAGAATGTAACTTTTCCATATTAGATCACACGTGAAGAACGAATGAATTTGTACACGTGTTGTTACTGTCAATTTGAATTATTTTCTAAGTTTTCTTAAACATGAGAAATTGAATTTAATATAAAGTTAAGCTTCTTAAATTTCAACATGAAAAATAAGTCAATTCGACATAAAGAATTAAATACATTTCAGGTATGCAATGTATGTGAATAATTGTTTTGTCTGTTTTACATACGCTATATTTTTTTTATTGCAGTTTAAAACATTTAACGAAAGAGTTAGTGAGATTGACGTCGATGTCTTTCATCGTGTTGCACATCGAAATGAAGAGAACGAGGAAGAGATTGAAACATATTTCCATCAAACACTTCAGAAATGGAATTTTCTTAACCTCACCGAAGGTTATTGCAGCTTTAAGAGGAAAGTTCGCGATATCGTAACGCTCCCACAATTGGTAAATCAAAAGCAATTCGTGGTAGACACGTTGATAGAGTATTTAGAGAAAAAGGATGTTTTGTTTCTGCAACCAATTTTAGAGTGAGTATTAAGTTACAGTACACGTAGATTTAAGTAGTTTGTGACAGATATTTGTATCAATTTTTCATTGTAGGCTAGTCGTAGCTGTGTCTAAAGATTTACAGAAAGACTTCTATGAGTATTTTCCTAAATTTCTAACAGTTATTATCGACTTACTACAAACAAAGGATACAGAACAATTAGAATACACATTTATGTCGTTAGCTTATTTATTTAAATTTTTATGGAGATACTTGGTTAAAAATGTGAAAACTGTGTTTGATCTATTATTACCATTGTTAGCGGACACGCAGCCAGCATATGTAAACAGCTTTGCTGCTGAAAGTTTTGCATTCGTGGTACGCAAGATCAAGGACAAAGATTCTTTCTTAAAGACAGTGTTGCATATATTGAAAAGTAATCCAGATGGAATACCAGGATGTGGTAAATTACTATTCGAAGTAATATCTGGTGTACCAGGTCAATTTCATTCGTGTGCAGAGCAAGTGCTTTTATTGTACCTCAATGCGTTGAACAACGAATCGTTAAATCAAAGTTTAATGTTTCAATTATTGGAAGAAATTATTAATTGTATACTGCAAAATATACATCCGCAAAAATGTCAGATACTTTGGTCTGTACTTTTAAATGCCATGGACAAATCTATTGAGAAAACTAAGCAGTTTCAACTAAAAATTGGGAGAAAGAAAAGTTTAATTCTTTTAATGCAATTGTTGAATACAATTGTCAGTCACAGAAATGGAAAAATGGTTGCTGATCCTATACCTTTGATTAAAAAGTTGGTAGAAGTTTTAGATATGTTTGAAGATGAGAATGATGTGTTAGAAAAAGTTATAAATGTATCAATTGCTATTCTTTTAGCAGCTAATGTTAGTTTAATGCAAGAAACATCTAGTCAAATATTATTTAAAATTATGTCAGTAAAAGATATTGAATTGTTATATGGTGCTGTTGAAAGTTTAATTCATTATTCGTCATTTGAAACTTTGATATTGCCACATATAATACGACATAGCATTTCCATTGGTTTCAATGATAATATTTTACAATTATTTATTAAAATAATTAAAGCAAAAGTTCCCTTATGCCTTAATGGTATCAATTTAAACAAATGGACGAAATACATCTTAAATATACGAGGTATAACGTCTGATAGTATTAATTATCTCCAAAAGCAGTTAGAAAGTTTATTGGATAATGATATATCGACAAATGCATTAAAAACGTTAATTATTTTACCACATCTGAAGCCTATACCGGAAGAATTTAAGGATATTTTAAAAAGAGGAATATTGTCTTTGTATAAACAGATATTAAATAATACCAACACAGAAATTGAAATAATCAAATTATGTTTGACATTTCTAATAGCTTTGGAATCTGCAATTCACGTATTGGAATTAGAAACTCTGCACGAATTTATGGAGAAGAATGATTTAAAAATATTAAATTTAATTACTAAATATCCTGATAATAAATTCATTCTGAATGCAACAGATCTATGTATAACATATTTTAGTACATCTCAATACAGAGAAGTGTACATAAATCGAACTGTATTTGATAAATTAAGTAGCAATATTGCACAAAAATTAAGTTCACCATTCAGTGAAATACGTTTAATAGTAACTCATTTATTTCATTTATTCTCCAATATCACTGAAGTGAAATCGCATACTATGAATGAGAAGAAGCAAACAAATGCTATGGAACATATGTATTTGGCAGAATGTGAACCTATAACTGTACAGAGTTATCGAAGTAGACTGTTGCATTTACAAGCATTGTCATATGAGAGTGATGCAATGATAAATTTAGATTCGAAATATTATGAACTTCCATTACGATATTTACTGGGAAATCTATATATAAATTTCTCTTTGCTATGGGACCCTGTAAGTAAGATTATAGTTACTTTTGCACTCAGAGAATACGAGCAATTTTGGCCTATATTCTTAACCGAATTAAAATCTAATCGTGAAGTAACTATAGACTATAAACCATTGTTTGAATGTAAATTTATTTCTGAAATAGAAAATGCAATACAAATATGTAGTGATAAACCAGACTATGAAAATCATAAAATTCTATTGTGGAAATGTATGACAAATTTCTCACATTTTTGTGAGATGAAGAACAGAGATGTAACATGTTTATTTATTGACTTTGTAAATGATAACTTTTTTAAGACCAATTCTGAAGATGCGAAATGTTGCAACATTTTAAAAGCACAAGAGCCAACTTCTTCTAATAACAACATGGAAATTGATATAGAAAACGAAAGTGATAACGAATCTGAAGAAAGCGAAAAAGAAGAGGAAAAAAATACAGAAGCTACTATTCTTACAGATACAAAAATAAAACAAATAGACACAGAGTCTAAAGAGATGAGTAAAAGTGTTATGAATAAGATTTATAAAGTGAAACTTTTACTTGCCCAACTTGAGGTATTTGAAAAGATGACAAATCCAAGAACATTATACAGGGAATCAGAGATGCAAAAAATTTATTTGGACTTGCTGTCATCAAAAGTTCCTGACATTCAAAAGGGCGCTTTAAATTGTCTTCTAACATATAAATATAAATATTTACTACCTTACAAGGATAATTTGCTTAGTATAATTAATGAAAGAAATCTGAAAAATGAAATGATACGTTTTAAGGTCGATAAAGAAAGTAATACTATTGCAGAAGAACATCGCGCTGAATTTATACCTATACTGATGCGAATAATTTACGCTAAAATGATTGCAAAAACAGGAATGAGAACTGGCGGTAAAGCTGGAGGTACTTTAAAACGTAAAATAATCTTACGTTTTCTAGCTGGGATTGAAGAGAATGAAATGATTATATTTACTCACATGGCGTTTAAGCCTTTCAAGAAATACATGCTCGAATTGGATAAAATGAACGACCAACAAATTAATTTAAAACAACTTACACAAAATATTATTAATACTGTAGATTTGAGTAACGTTATTCCACCTAAACGTTTGCAGAGCGCGACGAATTTACTTGCAATTTTAATTGAGCAATTTGGCAGCAAGATGGGAAAGAAATTGTTACCTTATTTACTTAGTTTGGTAATATGCATTCTAGCAGAAATAACTGGAATTTTACAGAAATCGGACAAAGTCTATACTGGTTATTTACGGTCTATCAAAAACGTAAGGTCAAGTTGCATCTTAATATTAGCAAGATTTTTCGGTCACTATGAAAATTATGAGTGGGATGAATATGAAATGGATAGCTTGTTTAATGTAGCTGTATTCCCATGGCTGGAACAATTACCCGTGGACGGTATTCACAGTCCCACTCCATTACTAAAGCTATTTATGGCATGGAGCCAGAATTCACGTTATTATCCCTTATTTATAAAATATTGCGAAGATAATAGATTTCTTACTCCACTTCCATATATAATGAAACTTCTATTGGGCCCAAAAACTGAATCATGCGTTATTAACGCTATTGTAGAGATGATTGAGAAAATGGTAACGCTGCAGGATTATAGACAGGTAAATGACAGTGGCATGGAGGTTGATACACCTTTCGTTCCCTTAACACCTATACTTAATAATTTACTTGAGATAAATGATGAAGCATTATCTAACGGTGTTAATTATGGGTCTACCATCCTTCTTCCTCATGTGTTTAGTATTTTACAGTATATTAAAAGTAAACTTGAAAAGTCAAACAGGGGAATAAGTAAGATAGAACTTGTGATTTTATCACGTATATCAGAATTTGTAAAAGATGCAGATGCATGCGACATGCTTCTTACTCTTATTTTACCGATATTAGCTAAAAAAGCTACAGCCGAAGAAGAAGAAACGATTATTGAATTAATTACTACTGTGATAAATCTTGTGAAACAAGTGAAGAAACCAACAATACATATACGTACAATTCTACCTTTGTTAGGTACAGTGTCTACAATTCCTGCTCGTAAACTTTTGTTGGAACTTTATAAAACCATTGTGGAAAAGTCTAATGATGATTGTCGTGAGATACTGATGAAAAATTATGAATTAATAAGTGCGCTTAATGCGTGGGATCGTAGATGGCTTGATCAGCCAGATTTTCAGAGAAGATTTGATGCGTTTTCTGAAATTAATAATGCAACAGAAAAGAATGAGATTACATTAGAGTTTGGGATAGGCATCATTCATAATTGTTATTACATTCTTAAAAATGAAGCAGATTTATCACTGAGAGATAATGCAGGACAATGCCTTAAGTTTCTGGGTTCTAAACTGGCACAGGAACATAAAGGAAATACCGCAGATAGACGTTATCTAATGGATCAGACAATTTTACCACTTATAAAGAAAGGGATAACTAGCAAAGTTGAAGTTGTGAGGCTTCAATCAATATCCTTTTTGGGACATTTAGCTATGGAATGTTCAGACACCCATCCTGTTTTACGAGATTTATCGGTATTAACTAATAAAGCCGATCGTGAAGTAGATTTCTTCGAAAACATGCAGCATTTGCAACTACACAGAAGAGGTCGAGCATTTCTTAAATTTTGTAATATAGCAAAAACACTGAAAAAGCCATTCAATCCAAGAACATTAACACAGTTTATCCTTCCTTTCGCTTCTTCATATTTGTGCAATGAAACTTTTATGCGCAAGAACAGTCTTATTGATGCTGCAATAGAAACAGTTGGAACTGTATGTAGACTTTTACCATGGCATCAATATGAAATTATTCTGAAACATTACTTGGAAAAGCTAAGACATTCCATTGAATTTCAAAAACAGCTTGTTAGAATCATTGTTAGCATTTTAGATTCCTTTCACTTTGATTTGTCAAAATATAAACCTACAGAGGAATTTTCAGTATCAAAAGAGATCAAAGAAATTTCTGAAAAGAAAATGATTTCCGGTACCAAAGAAGATGTAAATGTTGACAAAGAAAGTGACGAAAAAAGTGGTGATAAGACTAATGAAATAGAAGTAGAAGAAAAACTAGACGAAGCTTTGAATTCTGAAAATATAGATACCGTGGAAGAAACTGTAGAAAAAATACAAAATGAAACTCAGGAAGAAGTACTTGTGATGAAAAAACAGATCATTCTTTCACAGAACGGAGCACGACGAGTTGTATTTAGTATATCCAAGGAATTGTTGCCACAACTTCATCGTTCTATTATAGCGAGAACAAGTCACGAAAGTAGTCACAAGATTAATAAAAAAAGAGTTGCAGTGGATAATGAGGAAGAAGAGTTAATGCGAGTTCCCATCGCTCTTGCTTTTGTTAAATTATTACAAAAATTACCTGAACATATTTTACATATTAATTTACCAGGGTAAGTATGTAACACATACACTTTCATGTAAAATTAGAATAAATCATTAAAGTATTGTAAATAATTGTTTCAGAATCTTTATGAAGTTATGTACATTCTTGAAATCTCGCTTGGAATCTGTACGACGCGTCACTCGAGCAATATTACAAAAAATTATGATAACTTTGGGTCCGAAGTATCTTTATCATCTTCTAAAAGAAATGAATACTTTATTAACAAAAGGTTTTCAAGTTCATGTCCTTGCATTTACGGTACAATCAGTGTTAGTTGTTCTGAAACCATATTTTCAGAAATTTGATATCAATGAAAATCTTCAAAGTATTTTGTCTGTAAGTAATATCATAAATATACATATATTAAAATCTTAATTTTATATTTTATTTACTAATAAATTGATATATTTTATCTTTAAGGTATGTAAAGTGGATTTATTTGGATTAACAGCAGAAGAGAAAGAAGTAATACAAATAGTAAAACATGTATCAGAAGCGAAATCTACAAAAAGTTTTGATATATTTCATATATTAGCACAATATATTACTGAATCATGTTTAGTAGATTTAATTTTGCCATTGAAAGAAGTGCTTATGAGAAGTCATTCGCATAAAACTATACAAAAAGTTGTGGAATGTTTTAGGAATATAATATTAGGTTTAGCTGATAATACATTTATACCATTAGAACAAATGTTAATATTCCTTTATGGTGTAGTTTCTCAAAGTATTCCTGAGCTTAAGCCCGAGAAGAATGCTAAAGAATTAACAGAGAAGGAAGCAAAAATACTCACTAAACAGAAACCAGATTGCTTTATCATACCTCCAGAACCAAAAAACAAAATGGGTATAAAAGCTACTTCAAAAACATCAAAAAATACCAATGTTCACGTTATTATAGAATTTGGTTTGAAACTTTTCCATATTCTATTAAAAAGAAACAAAATATCTAATGCAGACTTTAAGCCCCTGATAGATCCGTTTGTATCATTTATAAGTGAGTGCATAAAATCTCAACACGTTAAGGTAAATTTATTTTTTTTCTTATCGCAAATAACATTTGTAATTAATTATTAATATTAATATGTTGGTATTATATTTTTTCAGCTAAGTACCTTGGCTTTACAGTGCTTAAATTGGTTGCTCAAAATGGATTTAACTTCAATACAAGAAACAATCTCTGACATTTGTTCATCTATTTTTAATATCTTGCATAAATATGCTGCGGCCGGCCTAAGTAAAGGTGATAATTTCGATTTGGTGATGGCTGGTTTTAAGTGTATGTCCGTAATTGTTCGTGATGTGAAACATTACGTAATTAGTACTGATCAGTTGAAGGCCTTAATCATGTATGCTGAACAAGATATGCACAATTCTGAGAAACAGGCAACAGCGTTTGGTTTGCTCAAAGCGATAATCGCTCGAAAAATGATTCTTCCTGAAATGCATGTTGTTATGGAAAAAGTTGCTGCTTTAAGCATTACCTCGGAACTAGAACATGTTAGAGTACAATCCCGCTCTGTTTTTTATACTTATTTGATGGAATATCCACTTGGCAAATGTCTGCAAAAACACATAGCATTTTACTTAACACAAATTAGCTATGAAGTGCAACCAGGTCGTCTTAGTGCTTTAGAGATGATTTATAGTATTGTTACGGGGTTTCCACTAGTAAGTACATTTAATTCTTTTAGTTTCCCTTTTCTTTTTTTTTCTGCTGATTAATGCAAGTGAATCAATCACATAACTTTATATATTAATTGTAATTTTAGAAAACATTGATCTTCAAGTCAGGTATTATCTTTATAATGGTGGGTGCAAGATTAGTAAATGACGATGATCCAACATGTCGTAAGTTGTGCGCTAAATGTATTAAAGAAATGATTACACGTATACCTTACAATGAAAGAAGTAAACTTTTTGATATAGTTGTAACGTGGTTGAAAGATCCTAAGGTAATTATTCGAAAATGATTTTCAAATGTATAACATATTTAATGGTATAAAATTATTTTGTTATTGTGTTATTTTAGGTAATGCATCGAACATTGGCTGCACAATTATGCGGTATATTTGTAATAGTAGAAAAAGACACTTTCGAGTCTCGTTTAAAAGAAATATTACCCCTCCTTTTGAAACAATTTCATGCAGACTTCAATGATAACGATGAGCCTGGTCGTTTTGTGAAATTACACACTGAAAAAGAAATTCAATTAAAAACGGAGCGTAATATCAAGGATCCAGAGAAAATGAAAGATCATCATATGTTTCAAGTGCTACAATTGTTACTGAAGATATCTGCAAATTGTACGGCATTCCTTAAAAGTGAAGAATATAAAGATGCTGTTCATTCATTTGCTGGTAGGTTTAATGTGTTATGCTATCTAATGATTATTCAATATAATACAATAAATTCAATATTGACAAAATTTTATGGATTTCAGAGTATACTCAATCTTTGTTAGCACATCCTCATATGTGGGTGCGTTTAGCAGCGTCTCAACAAATTGGATTTATCCTAGCTGTTCTCGATATCGACAAAATTGCAGACCTTTTAGAAAATCCTGAAAAGTGTGAAGCAGAAACGAGTTACATGTATTCTGATCCAACTGCCATTATAAAAAGTTTAAGTTTAGATTTAATTGCACAACTGCAACCTGATATGATGTTAGAAGAATTAGCTAATCAGACTGTTAAAAATTTAATTTTCATCGCGAGAATTTTGAAATCTGTGAAACAGATTAATACAACTGCGACAGATCGAGTCGACGAAACGGAAGATAAAGATAAAAAAAAGTTATCTCTTCTTTGGCTTGTTAGGAGATTGAGAAAGTCTGTAAATATAGAAATAGTTCAAGCTCCTAAGTCAATAACAGTGGTATAGTATCCATTGTTATCTTTATATGATTCTTAAAAGGTTAAATAATTAATTAAATTATAAGTTACATTCTTTTTTTCAGCGATCTGCTTTCTTTAAATGGGTTGCTGGTATACTGGCTACAATACCTATGGAATATTTAAATGTAATACTTGTTAATATCATGTCACCAATTGTTCGTGAAATATCTGCTACAGAAGAAAAGATTACCACTTTACGACGGTTGGCTAAGGAAGCGGCTGCGATGATTAAAAAACGTTTAGGTAACGAAGAATACACGAGATTATTCAGTCGAATACAACAGAACTTGGATATTAAAAAAGCAGAAAGAAAAAAAATACGTACGCAGCAGGTATAGTTTCTTTTTATATTTTTAACTTTTCTATAAGATAAGTAAGTAAATTATTAAATACCAAAATTTTTTTTTGTTATAGTTTGTAACGGATCCAGAATTAGCTGCCAGACGTAAAATTATGAGGCAGCAGAGAAAAAAAGAAGCTAAAAAAAGAAAATTAGACACAGTAAGAGGAAAGAAAAGACCAAACAAACGTATTAAGAAAGAAGTCGATTTCGATATTATGTAAATTATACAAAAATAAAACAAAACTTTGATAAGAATGACAGTGTTTTTATAATTATTGCAAATGATATACACTATTAATATGCAATATTGTATGGCAGTAATTTTATGTAAATAGGTATGATAAATGAATATTTATTGTAAGATACAAGTACAATCAACAATAAACTTTTTTACTATGACAAATGATTATTATTTTATATATTTGTGCATGAAATAATGTAAATTATATGAAATTGTTCATTTTAAATTGTATTTAATTTAATAATCATTGAATGGAGTTCGAAAAAAGTACTTATTATTAAGTCCTAAATTTAATTTATTGTCATGATGAATATTATCAATTTTTAACAACTTCAAAAATAGTCAAAAAGATTATTAGTCATTAGATTTAATTATTTACTCATTAGATAGTCAAAAAGATTATTTTAATGCGATTTATTTATGAATATGACGCTATATTCGACCATGAAAGACTTAAAACGTCACTCAAATAATGAGAAGCGATAAAGAATTTGATACAGAACACGTACTATTCAACATGTATAGAAAAATTTGTCTAATTATACTTTATTGAAGTATCGCCAACTCGGAGTTTCTTTATTTTTAAATATAATTATATATAAGCAGGATACTTATTGCTTATTGTAGTATCTATGCTTATCGGGGAAAACTCGCGTTATCGGTGGTGGTTCCATATAAAAAACCGGAAACGTGAGAATTGACATGTTAGTTGAGTAAGGAGAATTTCAACCAGTCAATCGTCCACGGTAGAACCAATTTTAGTTCGAACGTTTTCATTGATCGCTCATAAATCCACGTGAACGAGACGAAGCAAAAATGTTCGTCACCGTTTCACTAGCAATAGTGACACTGATATTAATTATTTATTCGGTAGTCGGACAAAATAGAAGAAAAGCTCCACCAGGTAATTAGAGTTATTTTCAGTTAACCGTATCAAGTCACGTTACTCGATCACATTCACTAGAATTAGCCTGATCATTGTCGATCAAATCAGTATTTTCTTCTTTTTGTTTTTTGTTTTTTTTCGAATAATATTGACGCGTCTTTACCGCAGACATTGAGTCAACAATTTTACCTTCTTAATTTTATAGTGAGCATAATAATTAACAATTTACGTAACGCGTTATGGTGACTATAAATATTACATTAATCTACTACAAATATTATTAATCATATATAAGATTTTCCAATTATTTATTGAAATTTTGAATTATTAATTTAAGAATTAAGCCGAATTAAGGTGAATGAAGTAGAAGAATAGAGCCATTAACAATGAATAAAATCGCGCGGACGTACATCCCACTCTAGTTGGCTTAACTATGAACCAGGTCACTGAACTAGTTTAAATTAGAGCTTTTATTGTTCGTTCAATGAGATTATCTATTTCGTATTAATTATTCTTAGAAGTTCTTGTTTATCACAGAAAAATATACACAGTAATATATTCGCACGTATATATATATCAAATATATGTAGATAAGAAATCTGTATACATATGCGTAATTTAATTAAATAAGTGAATAAACAATTAATTAATAATAATGATCAAATAATAAATAATAATAATGGTCTAATAATATGGATTTTGAACTCTTCCTTTCAACATTGGTTACAAAATGTCCATTGATATTTATGACACTATAATACTTTTTATTGTTATTGAATAAGTGGTTAATATATATTATCACCTGTACTTATTTCCAATTATTATTATGTATATTCCTTTCAATGCAACTATTTTGAATATATTTAAAATAAATTCGTCGAATAAATTCGCTTTCATTTCCATTCTCCAAATTAATTTCTCTCTGTGAGATACAATAGATAACAGAATATCGATCATTATATAAAAAGCCGTGGAATGAATTTCCCTTTTCTTTTTCTAAAATTTTTATTATTTTTCAGGGCCATTCTCATGGCCGTTTTTCGGCAGCCAATTTCTATTGAAACGTTTGGCTCGTGAACTTGGAGGACAGGCCAAAGTGTTCCTGGAGCTTTCAAAACGATATGCCAGCGATGTGATAGCAATAACCATTGGTAATGAGAAAGTATTTGTCGTTTTTGGATTCAAGCTGTGTGATACGGTATTGAAGAGCGATGAATTTGAGGGACGTCCCTGGAACGAATTTATTAAAATTCGAAACATGGGCAAAAAGCAAGGTATCGGAATTTAATCTTTGAAGTACATTTTAAATATTGATTCTATGATTATAATTTCCTCTTATAAAATATGATATATTTTAAGTATGAATATAAATATTTACCCGTCATTATATTTTCTTCAGTAATGATAATTTCGTCAGTATACTCAATCTAGCTCGTTTTTTAGTTATTTCGTTTAATATTTATATTTTTTGTTTATATTTTGATATATTTCATACTTCAAACGTTCGAATTATGTTAATATTTACAGAATTATCATGAATAATAATACTATTATTTTATTCATTCTTGCTGAAGTAATATCGTTTTTCTATGTATCGTTTATATTTAGAAACTAATTGTCATGCGAGTACGGCATGTGCCAATTAAGTACGTCAATTGTTGGTATTTTAAAACTGAAGTAATATCGTTTTTCTATGTATTGTTTCTATTTAGAAATCAATTGTCATGCGACTACGGCATGTGCCAATTAAGTACGTCAATTGTTGATATTATTTTAAAGCTTTGTTCATACTGTTACTGTTTTCATTTCATTTTTTTTTTTTTTTTTATTTTCATAGATAGTAAAAATGTCAAGGCGAAAGATCGAAGAGGTACAATTGCAGTGTATTCTGTTATTTTTGTTTGATAAAGGATATTAAAGCACAAAGAAGCTACAAAAAATATTAATGAAATTTACGTCGAAATCTTGAATATCCGTAAATGCCAGCGGCGGCACAAATAATTTAAAAACGGCGACCGAAATCTTAAATTCTCGCTGCATGCGGCCTCGCATTGTCTTGTTGCAAGATGCGTCGTTTTTTATTCACCAGAACCGATCGTTTTTTTTAGTAATTCCGCCTTTAATCTTTCCAATTGCGCACAGTAGATCTCTGCTGTGATAGACTGACCAAGTTTTAATAATTCATAATGAATCACACTCGAAATATCCCACCAGACACATAAAAGAACCTTTTTCAATGTCCAAGATGATTGAGGCGTTAAAACCAGGCGTTTTTGATTGTTTTTTTTTTTATGTGGATTGCTGTAAAGGATCCATTTTTCGTCTCTGGTAACAATTATTTTCAGAAACGGATAGGTTTCATACCTAGTCAGCAGAACAAATGATCACTCGCCGATCGTGCGAAACCCAAATCCCCTGCCTGTGTTTTATGCGGAGTTTTTTTTTACAATGAGTTTTCTTTTACAATCGATCACGGACAACCGATATCCTGCGACAATTCCTTAATGGTTTTGTGGATCTGATTTCACCAATGATTTCAACACGTCTTAATAGATTTCGGTCGCCGTTTTTTTAAATTGTTTGCATTTACGGATATTCAAGATTTCGACGTAAGTTTCATTAACAATTTTGGTAGCTTCTTTGTGCTTTGATCTGAAGGGATTGACAGTGTGTTGATGCGTGCAAGGATGAAGGAATGTGAAGGTAAATTGGAAGTAATGTAGTGTGGAGGAAGTAAAGTAATGTAGGAAGTGATTTTGGTAAGGGTGGGGAAAAGGTTGTGCGTTTCGTCTCAGAGTCGCTGCCTAGACTCATCATCAGTGGGGCTGATGGCAGCGTGACTCCTTACCCCAGATGCTTGTTCTAACTACTCGCTAAGCTGGACGGTCACCCCCATCATCCTAGCGGTGTCCCGCACTCTGCTTAACATCGAATATCGCTAGACTTCGATGCTAGGCGCATAGTCACTTGCGGCTTGTACAAGTCGGTGTTCGAAACTCGTACTCGAGGGACTCTAGGCCGCTACAGATCCTTTATCAAACAAAATACACCGTAACTGCACCTCTTCGATCTTTCGCCTTTGACATTTTTATTATCTGTAAAAATAAAAAAAAATGAAATGAAAACAGTAACAGCATGAACAGAGCTTCAAAATAATACCAACAATTAACGTACTTAATCGGCGCAATTGTACGACAATTGGTTTCTAAATGACACATAAAAAAATGACATTACTTTTGAACAACGCATTGGATGAATAACCATAGTTAGAATAACAAAAACAGAAGAAGCAATACAGAAATCATCATATAACTAATTAACATATAAATTAACATATAAATCAACATATAAATTAATTAATTTAAAAAAATTAAATAAAAGTTCTAGTTGTATTATCATATATGGACAATTGCTTATTAAAATGGATTTGTCTTCCTATTAATTTGAATGACCGATGTTTTATTGTACTATATTTATATTGCGTTATATTTCACTACTACATGGCAGATGTGCATTTGAATATTAGCAATTTGAATATTATCATTTTCTAATATTACCAATAGGCATTACAATGAACGACGGAGCAGAATGGAAGATATTACGGACCTGGGTGATACAGACCATGAAAAATTTCGGTTTCGGAAAACGCGAAATGGCTGAAATGATTAGAAATGAATTGATCATACTTCTGGATAACATGAATAAAAAGGGTCCACTTCGACTTAAAGAATTGATTACAGGGCCTGTGCTGAATGTACTCTGGTTTTTGACGTCGGGACAGGCATTTAGCAAGAACGCAAGGTACATAAATACACGTGTTCTATTGGATTTCTCTACTTTGTGGAGCACCGTTTCCACATTTGGTCTCCCATGCGTATAAGCAACTGGATCGTTTACACGTCTGCTTGAATTTCTTCTACTTCTTTTTTTTTACTATTATACGTAGAAACACGTTGCATTTCTTTTATTGAGAATTCTCATAAAACCTTTTGAAAAAAATGTAAGATGTACGAAATTCGTTTCGTTTATAAGCAACTGTCATCTTTTCGTGTCTTTTTACTATCTGTAATAAAGTTAAATCATAGAAATTAAAGTAACGATTCATAAGAATTTCAAGTAGGCCATAAGTTTGAAGCACATTGTGATTATTTGCTCTAATGTAGCGTAAGTTATTTTGGGGACTTATTGGAACGTCGCTCGCAAGTCTTTGACATGACAGGCGGGATTCTCAGCGCTTTCCCTTGGATTCGTTACATTGCACCTGAGCTCTCAGGATACAATCTTCTATGTACGTTGAACAATGAGCTCAAGGATTTCTTAATGGTGTGTCTATTATGTAAATCAATTATGATTTTGCATTTATTAAACACGTTGTTCGACAATCTGTCTGTTATACGTGGATCTTTTTTTTTTGCGCAGAAAACGATCGTTGAACACAAGAAGAACTACAAGCCAGGAAGTGAGGCAGATGTAATTGACATGTTCCTTAATGAAATGAAGAACAATGAAAACTCTAACGTCTTTACAGGTATGATCAAATTATAAGTTGTTTTATTCGTGAACACGTTCTCTTTTTAATTCTCCCCCAAAACTCATGTGCTGTAAAAAAAAGAACAATTTTTAATATTTTTCATTGAATTAAGAAATAGAAAATTTTATACATCCGTTTAGTTCTTAGAGCATCAATGTTAATAGAAACACCTACAATAGAAACACCTAATATTACATGTTAAGAGAAAGTGTTTTCACTAGAAGTTGTTGCATACGACCCCATCAAACGTATATGTTCGTTTTCTTTTTTCTTTTTTTACGTAACATACTTTTTAGACGAACAATTGGTGGTGTTGTTGGTTGATATTTTCATTCCTGGTATTTCAACTACGAGCATGGCCTTGGACTTCCTGTTTTTGTCTATGATAGTGTATCAGGATGTGCAGCGTAAAGTACAAGAGGAAATCGACTCGGTGATACCACGTGACAGACTTCCTGAAATAGAGGACAAAGCGAAGTAATAAAAAATTTTCTCTCTTAAATGTTCGCTCTTATCTGTGTAAAAATTTTAATTTAAATTTAGTTGAGTCATTGATTTTTTCTATAGAATCTTCTATATCGTGTGTCCTGTATAATTTTTCATCTCTCATGAGAGAATAAAAGCGAATGTTCAGTGAAGAGATCAGAGAGAAACAGAGTATCCGAGAAAACCGAAATTTTTTATCGTTACAGGCTCCCATATGTGGAAGCTGTAATAAATGAAGTATACCGGCTATGGCCAGTATTCCCTATAATTGGGCCGCGACGAGTACTTCATAATACGGTTCTCGATAAATACACAATACCAAGGGATTCCACTGTTTTACTCAGCGTGGAATCTATCAATAAAGATCCTAACATCTTTCCGGAACCAGAGAAGTTCATGCCTGAAAGATTTATAAAGAACGGCACCTATGAACCAAGCGCATATTCTTTACAATTTGGAAAAGGTATAAGATAGATACAGAATGCATCTGTAAAATTTAATTTTCTGTTGTTGTAATGTCATGAAAATTTCACGGAACATACAGCCTATTAATTTTGTTAATAATATATAGGGTATTATTCATTATCTTTATGAAAGTTAAGAATACTTTTTACAATCTTGATTACTACATTGCGAGCAAGTGACACTGCTTTTACTACGATCATTAAGAAGATGGTTTTATGCACTGAAGTTTTCTATAATTTTAATTGCAGGGAAAAGACGATGTCCAGGCGAGGTACTAGCAAAATCCTCGGTATTCATATTATTTGTGGGCGTAATGCAGAAGTATAGTTTGTTTCCAATTCCCGGTAAAGGACCGTACTCTATTGAAATTAACTATGGCATATCATCATCACCAAAACCTTATGAAGCACTCGCCACGCCACGATGATACGTATGTCTTGTTTACGCTTTACATTCTTATTGAAGCTGTCAATAAGTGGAGCTTCGTATATTTTATATAATTAATAAAAAATGTTTCTTTTTGGCGAAATTGATATTTTACTAAAATGTCCCATGTTCATGATAAATCAAATGGCTAATTGATTCGTACGAAGGATGAACGAGATCAAGTATGTATGTATATAGTTTCATGTGTCTATTTTAATAACTGCGTACATGTATTTTTATTTATTCGGTTGTTGTTCAAATGATCAATATGCTGCCGATGCCCGTCGAAATCTCGTTTTGAAGTAATTTCATCCCTAGATAGAAGCCGAGTTTGTTTGACTTCAACAAATTTTTCTCTCGAATATTGTTTATTGTTTCTGCCTCGTGAAAGTCGCTTTACGCATCGTTTTACGTGTTCGACGAAATCAGCTCGTTTCGCAGAAGTCCAAATGTACCTTCGTTCGGGCGCCACGTGGCGATTTGATCCTTTTATATTAGACCTCAACGTGTCTGTCAAATGTTTCCTTGTCGCTGAAAAATAGATTCTGTGAAGTTCAGAATGATCACGTAGTTTATATTATAAAATATTGAGAATATCTTTTTTTCAAAAATTTTTTTTATCATATATTTGTAATATATCAAGAAACTCGTACACTCAGCTATTACTTGATAAATAGAAAATTTTCAATAAGAATATTTTTCTATTAAATACACATGTTTCTCGACTCTAATGCTTAATTAGTTATCTTGAATTGCCGTCGTCTAAGACCATAATATTTTATCACGTACAGAACAGGAATTTATTCTTAGAGACACTGAAGAATCTATTCATAATTGTTAGTTACATAATTTCCTGTTTTTATATTTGCGTTTAAAATAACGAATTGCGCTTAAAATTTTACTACAATATTTATGATGCAGTACAGTTTATAATGTCAGATCTTGCCGTAAGCTTTAGATAATAAGGTTTTGGTGATATGGTGAAACCATCGTGTCCATTTGGATCCGGTTCGCTGTGCTCCGGTGAAATTTCAATGTCGAAAAAATGTATAACGTAGGCGAAGAACAAAAATAAGGATGTCCGGGCCAACATTTCACCCGGACAACGTCTTTTACCTAAAAGGCAAAACATCATCGTTAATTCCAGAACATTTTACCTCAAAATATGCAAAAACTTCAAATATTTACATTTACAATATTATGCATTGAATTTCTATTTAAATGATCATCTGATTAGCAAGGGGAACTACGTAAGCTTAAAAAATTTGATTTTATCTGATGAATTATTTCTGGATGAATGAACTGTGTGCACGTATGTGTGTATATATGTAATTCGAAAATGTTTCAAGCGAAAAGAAATGAATTAAATTTATCCCGATGGAATACATAATAGTTCTTATAAAATACGTAGTTTATACAAATCCTAGTTTATAGCGAAAAAGATTTGCGTACGATGACTGACCTAAGCCGAATAGTATGTTGGCATTATTTTGGCAGAATTGACCATTTGCATCGAGAAATCGTTGAGGTTGAAATTTTTCTGGATGATCCCAGTAAGCTGGATCGTTTAATACACTATGGAAATCCAAAAGAATTATAGTATCCTAAAATCATAAAAATGTATCAACTAATGTCTTTATTCGGGATGTTTATATTTGCGGTACTTGCTTTAGGTATATTATATCCGTTCAAAGTTACGTTTTTCATAGTCTTGTGAGGGACTCCAAGTGGCGCCAAGATCAAAAATCTCTGTGCCTAATGTAATTGAAAAAAAAAAATTATTATATTTATTATACGATAATAAAAACTACAGAATGCTGTTATAGTACAGTTAATTTCAATCATCAATTACTTCCGCAAGAAACGATTCCATCAGAGGTAGTGATGAATAATCTTCTAAAGTAGGAGATCGTGATCTGCCTACGACATTATCCAGTTCTTCCTGGAGCACTTTGATCCATTCAGAGTGTAAAGATAAAAATAGAAAAATAGTAGTTAAAGTATCTGTTGTAGTCTTCGATCCAGCTAAGAAGAGGTCCATGCACAGAACCAACAAGTTTTCTCCTTTTAAACAATTAAATTGCTGTTTGATAACAAACGGAGTATTATTTTTTAATTCTACAAGTATAAAAAGCTACTCACGATCAAAAATGGTATCACTTGGTTCCGTATTTTTTGACGGAATCTCTAAAAGAAAAGCATCGATCAAATCCTGTGGCTGATTCTCGAGCAATTGTTTTTCATGGATGTTAATCTCTTCGTCTAGGAAACTCCAAAGCTTCTGAAGTATTCTCATTAAATCATTGTAACCAGATAATTCTGGTACTATGAAGCGTAGAAATGGCATTTGCGAAACAATGCCGCCCATTGTGTCCATTAATCTATGGGAAGGAATATGACTCGCATAAAAATGCAAATTGCATCCAACATGCACTTTATGCTTTGTTAATTAAGATGCGATGATATTAAAAGAAAAAAACTTTATTAAATTACCTGAAGGCATCGTGAACAGTTTCGAGAATTTCTACCAATTTCTCGTTTCCATAGTCAAACCTGTGACCAGCGAACATACACCAGAGAGAATTCAGAACTGCAATGTCAAAAACTGTATGCATTGACACTGGACCTTTGGCACTGATATGACGAAGATAATTCGTGAGATTTTCAGCTTCGACAATCAGCTGTTTTTCCATAATTGATTGCCCTAGTCCAAAGTTTTTGAGATGGCGCATTGTGAAACGGCGACATTGAGACCACATTGGTCCATCCGTGAATAAAATTCCTATTCAAATTTATTAATGAGAATATATTAATTTACTAATGAGAAATTATTTTCAAATATAATCGCAATGATTATTATTGCGGGTGGAGAAAAGAACGTTACGTAAATACCTTTCCTTTTTCCGAACGCGCGAACTCTGAAGAAGAATCCGTCAGGTCTTCCGTTGAACTCTTGCTGAAGAAGAACTTTCTTTACTAGATCGTGCGTCGAAATTATAACGACTTTCTGGTTTCCTAATTTCAGGCCTAAAATCGGCCCGTAGGTTTTCGTCAGATTTTGGAAAGCCAAGTAAGCGTATTTGTGTCTCAGTTTCAATCGATGAAACGTGAGGAAGCAACCGATCACTGGAAGCCATTTTGGACCTGTTTCGAACATTGGACAAAACTGAATTGAATATATTCCAACAAATAAATCAATTTACTAGGATAAAAATTAATAAATTCATAGATAGAGTTTTGTTTAGTTTTCTTCTGAGCAAAAATTAAAAAATTAAACAATCAATATGCACTATTAATCACGGATTTTTTGTTCACCAACCAGGAGGAAAATTGTGCGGTTTAATGCAATCATAGACACAAAACATGGAAAAAAGTACAAAAAGAAGAGAGATGATCACGTAAAGCATCTTGAAGTGTACTGATACTTCAGGGACTTCGAATACAGTTGCTATACCAAGCATATATGCATATGGTAACAAAAACGATCCTGGTCGTGATGTTATCGGCATGACATCCATGACCTCTGACAAAAATATCTTTTTGTCTGAGACATTCTTTTCATGGTGCTCTCCTAGCTCTATACTTCGTAGAAATGTTATCTGTTCTTTCTTCTTTTTCTTTTCCTTTTTTTAGATTACGATACAATAAAAACTCGACACAAGATGAATCGCTTAGTTAAACTTAACAATCATCATCGTTTATATAATATTGTAGAAGAAATTCTTCAGCGAAAGTCTTCACGCTTTCGATCGCAAGAAAAGTATTGCGAACTATTTATTTAAGAAGAACGATGATTTACAACTTGAAATGTTATTTAAAAAAGAAAGATTGAAAATTATAGTTCGCCCCTACATGTAAATGTTATTAATGATCAGTGGTTTCTATTTGTTCATTTATAAGCAACTTACTCATGAAGAACGTTTGAAATATTGAATTATGCGAGAGTATATATTTCTTGAGATAAGAGAAAGTATGTTCATCTTCTTTAGAAATATTGCAAATAACACAGATATTGTTTTTACTCTTTAAATACGAGTCCTGAAAAAGTTATGAACAATTGAAACAATAATTATTTCGTTAGCTTATACTCAATTCACTAAGGTCAGTGAAACGTATCGAAATGAAAAGTTTACCTATTTGTTTTAATTACACTTTGTAAAACGCGTCGTAGAAACTGAACTTTCAAAGTAAGTAGCTGCTAAATTATTTCCTGGTTAAACAGACTAATTGAAGCTAAACTGATCTAACGGGTTTTTCAATTGTAATTTACAGGTCTCCATTAACTATTGTATCCGTTGCGTCTTTTTGTGTTGTATTGTACTTCCGTAACATAAAACATAGTAACGTGAAATAGTCATCATCATCATGTCATCATCGTCTTTCTTGAAAAGTTTTGAAAAATAATCATTAAAAATATTATTAACAAAATTAACGCTACAAGATGATTAATTTTTATATTTCATTGTTTGATATATTACTATCCATGTTACTATTCATATAATAAGTATAGTATAAGAATATACTAATTATTTCATACATATGATTATTTATCGTGACGTTTAATTAGATTTTATATTACCGTTTCTTCTTTCTGGACAATCGTTCGTATATTCGCGTGTTCAAGTATTTTAAAACAAACATAAATCGACGTTGTATGCTTGCACACGTATATTTTGTGAGCAATGTTTACGGATACAAGTCGATGAAGAGAGTGGCAGCAATAAACACCTTTTCTTAAATGTCTTCTACAAACGTTCCCAATCTTCATTTTTATCGTCTTTTCTCCTGCTCTGAAAAAAATTTACTCACTTTACACAAATTTACATTTTTATACTTTTTATAATTGTACAATTAATGATGGTACAGTAAAAATAAATGAACTACGATCACTTTTGATTTCGTCGCCATTAAATTCGCGTCAATTCAAACCAATCATAATTTATGCTAGAAACGACTCGAAGGTGGCGCTAATGAAACATTGTTTGCGCGCGAAACTTATTCAATACGTTGTAGCTCTTCGTTGTAGTTCTAAAGTTGCTTATTATTGTGGTAATCGGCTTGGCACTTGCAAGATTTTGATCTAACTACCCACTTCAAGCGTAAAATATTCTTAAGGAAATGACCACTCAATCGTTTCACCATTCTCGAAATCGTCAACATTCGAAAGTTTCGAAACAATGAAACAGATATCAATAATGGACAAATGCTGCTTTCGGTAGGATGCTTGGAATTAAAGAAAAATAGCGAGAAAACAAAAAGTTGAATTCTCGTTAAATCTTTCTTTCGGCAGTGCATCGAACGCGATTAAAAATATCCTCGCAGGTATGTTCTAAATCTTGATCAAATTTCTCTGATAAATACTTCTAATAAAATAAAGTACCTCTCGATAAAATTTTATCTGGTTCGTTGAATCTGCGAACATCAGCTGGCGAGACGTTAACGTAAATTATGATCAAAATGAACAAGAAAGAAGCCTAGAGGAAAGTGAAAATCGTGTTGGCCGATCGAGGAGATCGATTAGAAAATATACGCGTACGACATTTCTCCGATTCCGTTTTCTTCCCCGGCACATGTGATGAAAAGTTTGACCCTGCGGTACAGTCGGATTAAAGCAAGAGTTTCTCTCGGCGAGCATCGAGGCCGATTCCACCGCGCAACATACTCACATACAGTTTATTAAGCCGAGTTTATACTTGATAAACAGTCGCAAAGTATTAACGTTATTAACAAATGAACAAGCATTGTCAAACATAATTCATCAAGGTCGTAAATTGATGTATCAAGTATCATTTCACATCACATTAATCATATTAATCACAGCGAAGCTACCATTGGCCATAAAATAGGTTATGTTGACCTTAACTAGGGACAGAGATGCAGTTTTAGAACACGCACCTATATATATACATGTATACACATAGTATATAGCGGCTCGCAAAGTAATTGAACATTTATAAAAATTTTCTATGAATATGTCACATGTATTATGGAAAATACTCTAAAATCTCATAGATATTGTAATATGATACGACGAACATGATTTATTTACAAATTTTGGACCAAACATATATAGAAATTACAAAATACAGATAACATAAAGATCACAAATATTTATACGTCATTTGTAAATTATTATTGATAAGTTTTAATAGTCATTGATGCCATCTTTATATGTATCATATACATACATATTCATGTGAATGATACATATTCATAAGAATAATGAGTCATGTGCTAACTTAATGTAATGTAAATATGTGTTTGTAGCAAAACGTTGCAGCTATAGATTAATTTCATATTTTATCGATGTGATTATGACAAAATTGTTTTTTATTACATTGTCCATAGAATTTCAAATTAGTTAATATACATAGTATTTTGAATTATCTAGAATTTCAAATTAGTTAATGTAATGTATTGATATAATACATGCATATGAATACATAAAATATATTATACTTCTGTGAGACTGAGTTTTTTCTATATCAAACGCAAACAATGTACAAATATTTGATTAGTTTAATTTAATAATGTCAGAAATTTATTGAAGAATTGCTAGACGATAGCTATTGTCTATTAAAGAAGAAAACTCAACTTCGTTCAGGTGTAGACCCGGCTTAATAGCGCAGCTGGATAACCCGACATGAATATCGTAGTATACCACAATGCTATAGATTAATTTATGTCGCTGTGTGACTACATGTGAGCCGCACCACTTTTACATGTGTAGGTGTACGGATACTTTCTCCACGGTCGAGGTCTCCCATATACAACGCGACTCGACTTCCTTCCATAACAGATTCGAACTTTCTCCAGTTTCGCAGCAGCGGCTACGGCTACGATCGCATGGCCATATTGCGTCATGTCGAGCCGTAGATCCTAAGATGACGAAGTGAAACAATAATGCGGAGGTGTTAATAAGGTATTAACAAACTGGCTTGTAATACTGGCGTATTAAAGGAGATGACAATCTTATATTTCGTGTTTTTAGCAAACGTTTTAATTTTAAGTAGAGCCCAGAGTTTGTATTACCTAGTGACTGAGATAGTGGAGTAATACAATGCAAGGCTTTATAATAATAGTAATCTTTTCCTTGCTAGAATTATTACGTACATAGATTTACTGTAATTTTCTACAATTTTCAGTCTTAATATATATAGAAATTATGATGAAAAGGTAAAATAATAACAGAATTGTTTTAACAAAATATTAATCAACTTTATTTGTAACGCCGTCGGTTAACAAAAGTAACAACAACACTGTATAAAAAAAGAGGGAAAAGGAAGGAAATGTACATACACAAAAAGATAGAACGCGTTAGAGTCAGGACCTTGTCAGTCAATTGATCCTGCGGAAACTTAACTCTCTACGACCTATCATACGACTAAGATATATACAGCGGCTTATGTTACAGTATTCTAGGTTTTTATACAAGCATACTGCTCAATCAGTGATTGGGGAACGCAAAGTTGGCTGCCAGGCTGCTTTGATTCTCCGGTGGCGGCACTAGATCTTGGCTGATCGACGGAGCTTCAGTCTTCGACGATCTGTCCCATCTGACTTTATTCTGGTCGATTTGCTGCTGATGACCCTGAGCATTCTGCTTCGAGGCAGCATCAGGACTGTAAGGAACTATCTGAGAACCTTGAGCCTGAGTATCTTTCCGGTCCTCCCAACCTTTATGATGAGGATGATGGTCCTCTGCAGGGAACCATTCCGATATCCAGACTGGCTTCCAAATCTTCTTCCATGCTGGAACCCAAATTTCTTTCCAAGCTGGTACCCAAATCTGCTTCCAAGCTTCTTTCCAGGCTAACTTCTTATCAGGTACCCATTCAAGCTTCTTATCAGTCTTCCAGATTTGTTTCCAAGCCTCTTTCCATTCCAACTTCTTATCAGGTACCCAAATGAGTTTTTTGGATGGTTTCCAAATTTGTTTCCATTCTTCCTTCCAGACGAGCTTCTTGTCATCCACCCAAATCTGCTTTTTGGCTGGCTTCCAGATCTGTTTCCAAGCTTCGACCCACTCCAACTTCTTGTCAGGTACCCAGATCTGTTTCTTCGCTGGTTTCCAATACTTTTTCCATAATGGTTTCCAGATCAGTTTCTTCTTCCACAAATCGTGGCTGGTGTACTGCCATCCATGATGATCAGTGCCGTGATAGTGCTCACCAGGAATACCGATTTTCACCCATTCAGGGATCCAGATCTTTTTCCAGGCTGGTACCTGAATCTCCTTCCACACTGGTACTTGAATCTCCTTCCAAACCGGTTTCCAGATTTTTTTCCACGCGGGCACCTGAATTTCTTTCCAGGCTGGGACCTTTATAGGTTTCCAAACTGGTTTCCAGATCTTTTTCCAGGCTGGTACCTGAATCTCTTTCCACACTGGAACCTGTATCTCCTTCCACACAGGCTTCCAAATCTTTTTCCAAACTGGTACCTGAATTTCTTTCCATATTGCTTTCTGCGTTGGTACCCACACGGGCTTCCAAATTTTCTTCCACGCGGGCTTCCAAATTTGTTTCTTCGCTGGTTTCCAAATTTTCTTCCATCCCGGTTTCCAGATCAGCTTTTTCTTCCAATAACCGTGATCGTGATCGTGATGGTCGTGATGTTCATCATGGTGTTCTTCGAGAGCTCCTCCGGATTGACCAAAGCCACCACCAGCGTCACCGCCACCGAAATGATCACCTCCAAAATGACCAAAACCACCACCGGCGTCACCACCTCCGGAATGACCAAAACCACCGCCAGTGTCACCACCGCCAGAATGACCGAAGCCACCTCCTAAATTACCACCTCCTAAGTCACCACCGTGACCGCTAAGATCACCACCGTGGCCACTCAGATCTCCACCATAGCCACTGGAATCGCCACCATGGCCTCCCAAGTCACCACCCCATCTTTTTTGTGCCGCTGTGCCATATCTGTATGTAAAAATTATTTACAGAATTATAACTCGTAATAACGATTTAAATTTATTAGCAAAAATAATTGTTATAGAAAATATCTGGTACAGTATTGCTAAAGTTTAAACTATTTAAAAAGAAAAAAATATTAATAGCGTGAAAGATAAATATATAATAAAATGTAATTTTCATTTTCAGCAAGAATAATAAAATATGTACGTACGGAATTTGTTGCTGAGATTTCTGCTGCTGCAGTTGATTCTGATCCACTGCCTTGCTCGCCACAAATGCGACTTGCAGTAGCACTACTAGTGCAGCCTGTGAACAATATAATTATACGGATATTACGGAATTTCACTACAAGTAGCATGCCACCACTACTTAACGTTGTCTGCCTTTGCTGTCTTTGAGTTTCAGATTTAATCAGCATTTCGAGCTGGATAAGAAAACCAAAATGTAAATTTTTAATACAAAACACGGAGAAATCTCGATTTTTTTCACGGCGATGCTCCAAACTGACTCTTAATGGTTGTTTCTTTATGGAACATCACTTTCGAAACTCGTCGCTGATCGATAATCAAGTAACATGTTTGTCGACAAATAGTGACTGTCGTCCTACAGTTCCGGTTCTGTTCACTGTTGTTCTCAAACTATTATACACAGTGGTTGAAGAGAAATACCATAGCTATTGAACAAAACAGAAATGTTTAAGATTGTAGAACATTACAGAAATATCTTAACATTTAATATTTCTGCAATATCAAACGTTTCGAAATTAAAATAAAAATCCGTAGATATGGATTCATAGATTTGAAATTATTTACGAATCGTATGTTATAAATCGGTATCCACATTTTCTCTGAAAATGAACAACAAAATGATTAAAAATAATCTATGTATTATCATACTGCGTTTGACGTTGGTCCAATTGTTAAATGATAATCAACATTACTTTACTAAGATCTTCAAACACGATGATTTCAACAACGAATCCGATCATCAATTCCTCGATGGTAAAATACGTTACTTACTCCGGATACGACGAATCTTAAAGACATCACTTGACTATTTCGCTTACGCCTTTGCTACGATGAAATTGTATGAAAACATCCACCTTGCGACAGTCAAAGGATAATTAACTATGCGATGGTTAAAAGATTTACGGTTTATGGATTATATGGAGAAACTGAATCGAAACGAGTATGTTGAAGAAAAAAAAAAACTGACCACGCATCCCGGGCGAATCCTCATATTTCTCGCAATGCCGCCCGTCGGGCTCGGGCCGCGTACTCTTGTTCCCTAAGTGCAGGAAAACGTAAGTTACTTCGTCCAATCAGCGGAACGCCGTAGTTATATAGGCGCGTATTCTCCCCCAGTGCTATCGTCCGAAGGTGGCTCGTAGTGTGTCTGGGCCAGGTGGTAAAGGTGGTGGTAAAATCGTCCTGGTGGAGGAGGTAGTCCACATAGTCGGAGGAAATCGAGACGCAATGGTGGTGGGTTTCGACGGGACGGCGTTACGGAAAGCCTGTAACTCGGCTACCTAGCGATGGAACTGATCTCCTTATTCCTTTCCATAAGGTTTGTTGAACGAAGTTTGTTTCTTGATCTACCATCATGTCTTCGTAAGGTCTATCTGTTTCTCTTTCTTGGGTTTAGACTTGTAATATTTTAAATTTCATTCTTAAAATAATTCATCATTTTGAAAACCAGCAGAATAAGTTCAGTGAAGTAACATTGTAGTGATTGCAAAACTTAAAATAGAGCTAGAAATGGTTCTTGAGAGATTCTTTATTTTTAATTATGTGTTTGTTGATTAATTGAACTATATCGGTTTAATATTGTCATAGATATTAAATATTTCCAATATTCCCTGGGAATAAAAATATATTTATTAAGTCTGAACTTAATACAAAGACGCTGGCTGTATTATTTAAGAAGATCAAAATGTTGCTGTAAATTCTTTTAATCTAATTACTGCTATAATTGCTATAGTTGATACCATGTAAACAAAAAATATATATATTTTATTCAAAAAATTATTTATAAAATTCAAGAAGAACCTCCACAATTAATTCCATTATAAAATTCTGTCTATCTTCTACTTCCTGTAATTAGAATTATATGTTATAAGCATCCGTTCCATATTTCGTAATAATGCTGATAAAAGATATCCGTAACATAATTTGCAGAGTTCAAAAGGTACTTAATTCCATCGCTACATTCACTCTCCTTCCTTCTTGCCGCTGTCCACCTCCCACGTCCAGACTGGCGATCTTATTTTACACCACGATGGGCTATCGTTCCGGAGAAAGTGATCGGGAATGCGATCTCGGACGAACCTGGTGGTTTCATTCTCTTCGTATATGCGTATTTACGCAGCTCCAACGAAAGCGAAGTTCACGGGGAGGCAAGGTTATGTAGCAAGGTTATACCTGGTGCTCTAGATAACCAGAGAACGGAAAAGTGGCAAAAGAAGACCGACCGGTGTCACCTCGTGTTTTTTTTTTCCCTTCGAATAATTCGATCGGTTTCGGGACGCCCATCAATTTCACATCCACGCCGGTTTCTCTCAGGCCCCAGGGCTGAACCAGCATCATTTTTTCTTTCACGTATTCTATCATCATTGCTGGGAAGTCCGATCGACGCCATGTCGAAATTTATTATTTAATCGTCAAGTGGAAAACAGTTCCTCCACCTTCAAAAGGAATTGAATTTTTAAGGTTCAAAGGAGATACATATCTAAGTCTTTAGAGTATCGAAAATAATGGAAATTTGAAATTCGAACTCTGAAAAGTTACATCATAAATTATAGATTCTTTACGACATTTGGTAGATGATCGATTACAATTTAGATCAGGATATTTAATTTAAATTTTTCTATATTTCTATAAGTATCTAAAAATTAAATAATCTAGCTATTAACTAACCATAAATTAAACCAGTGTCGTAGTTGATTTATAATTTATAAAATTTTTTTTTAACAAGGAAACATCTTTATAAATTTAATTTAAGGTTATTACAATTTATTATAATTTATATTTTATTAGAATTTAAGATTTAAATTTAAGGAAGAATTGTTGTTATGACGCACAATCGTATTTTCTCATTTGCATCAAATAGAAATAAATTTTCTGATGCGTCCTCATTCATTGCTAATATGGTCATTAATTACGTATACAGTTAGACTCCCGTAAATCAATATGCTCTATTCCGTTTACATAATTTTGTTGCTCCTTAAGTTATTCAACAGCCACGCGACAAACAGTAATTTCTTATTCAATCTAACGTTCATTTCGAGGTCGTTGGGATATGTTAGGTGAATTTTGCCCTTGGAAAAAAAAAAAATAGAAAAAAAGAAAGGTATAAGAAACAAGGAATTTACTTATTCCTGCGTATTATACACTTTCGCAAGACTTAATCGTCTGAAACGAAACAACGCGCGTAGATTATGGCGGCGTTGCGTTTTATTTGAAAAGCTCATAATCACAGACGCCTCCACCGGTGAAAGTAACAACACTAAAGCGAGAAGAAACATTACAATTACAAAAGTAACGAGTAGCGTTGCCTTTTTGAAATTTTAACTACTGACAGTGATGAAATTGTGTTAATAATTCTACTGATATATCTGATCGAATGTACTTTAAAGAAATGATTCCCAAGTTACCTACCACGAAAATGGGTTGTACTGCACAGTCGTACCATACTTGTTAACCATACTGGAAGTGATAACTGTCTAACTTCGCGCGAAATACGTAACGACAGTTATATGTATTCGCGCGATGAAAGTGAATTTTTCAGCTTACGAAGAGCCAGACTTGGTAGCGTACGAAACTGTTAAGACACGTTCCAACAATTTCGACTCGTAAATCATTCAGTCGTGTGGTCGCTCCAGATTTTCAAGCTCGTACGCAAGAACAATCCAGATCGGCGTTTCACCATTCCTCCGCGTCCAGGATACTAGCTTCCGTTTGATGCCAGCATTTCCTTTCAGCTTTAAGGAAAGAACCAAACCTGAAACATTTGAAACTGAAAGTCATCGTTCTTCGAACTCCTTACCAATGTTTTAACTTTCTGTTTTTCATATTTGTATAATTACGCATAATCACAGCTTAGGAGCCAGACGCGGTTACTAGCTATTATACAGTAAAGTTTCACCAATTTGTTTCCTATGTTTTAGAAAGAAAGTATCAATATATACGCAATTGTGTATCAATGTAAACGCGATAAATATCGCGTGTGGGTAGAAGCAGAAAAAAGGATGTTTGAAACGTTCCAAAGACGCAATAGTAAATAAAGGATCGAAGTATTTTAGAAATTCGTATTTGCACACTAGATGGTCGATTTATGGGCGAATATATGTGGTCTGCTTTCTAAACCTCTTGTCCTTCGAGATAGCCGATACCTCGCTCCTAAAAACATTTTTTCTTCGATATTTGGGTTACATGCCCTGGTAAGATTTACGAAAAAGAAACGATTGCTTCACGTTCTTAGAAACAATGTCTCTATCAGAAGTAGAACTAAACCTTTTTCTTATTCACTTTGTCAAAGGATAGGAAAGATACGAGAATTGATATTCGACATTAAAAAGTTAATCTACAATTAAACGTGATATTCATATTTATGTTAATTGTTTTTAGTATAGAAACTAAATTTTATGAAAGATAAAAACACAAGTATCTTCTTTTCTAAATTTACATTTATAGATGGTTATTATGATAAGGCGTAATATGAGTATTTATGGTATTTCTTTCACCTAAAATAAACGTATCGCATTGCTCTTTCATTCTACTTCATCCTACTTTTCTTAAGCATCAATTTATTCAAAGCGATATTTACACCTGCTGTCTGAAGTAATGGGTAATTGGTTTAAATCTTTCCACAAATTTCTCCACTGATAATCTCTTCTTCGACCATGCCCCTTAAATTGTAGTCGACAATAATCCAGGCAAAATATACATAAACGGCAACCAGGTATACAAGATGAAAGTTTATCCTTCCCAGTTTACGCATGATATATATCTTTCGAGTTTATGATATCTTCTAGTTTCACAATTTTGTTACTGTTTTACCAATGGAAGGAACAAGACGAATTTTCTTTAAAGAAGCAACGAATTTTATTGTTAATTATTCGGAAGAATAGAAATAATTTTGTAAAGTAAAGAGATAAGAATTGTTGAAATATTTGTTTCTAACGAGAAAGGCTAAAGAAAATCAAATTTTTAAGAAATTAAAATTCCTAAAAAAAAACAATTCTGAAGAAGCGGAAACGTGAAACTCAAGAACACTAAGTGAGACATGTTACTTTATCCAGAACACGTGTAGTCATCTAGAAACACATTTCCAATGTCTCGTATACGATCCTAACTTTTTCTTATCTGTAAAATCAAATGTTTGCTGCATAACTTTCAAGAATTACATTCTTCTTTAAAATCTCTCATTTGTCTTTGATTTTTCGTTCGTGTAATTTCTTCAGGAGTGAAAGGTGTTCGTGATGATTTCATATTACATGGTCACATATACACGTACGCGCGTTTACGCACGTACGCATGTCCATATAAACATACATTATCGCGTTACCTAATCCTTGTCTACCCGCCATCCATTATCAATTAATGATCCGTCATGATTTTCACCAATTAAAACGAATCGGTTTCATCAAAATCATTTTTATATTTTGCAATCTTGAACTACCTATTAACAGAGAAATTTAATAATAATTATTAATTATTAATTCAGAAGTTCTATCAGGTATGTTTTACATACTAAAAGTTCTAAATTTCTGAGCAGTGCTCAGAATGATCTTTAACACGTTTCGCGTTTCACATCGTCTTCAATGCACGTTGAACTTTCCATTCAAGTCTCTGACATTTTCAACGGATGTCAAATAAGTATAATAGCACGTGCACTATCAACGCGATTCGAGAAGAAAATGCGTAAAGACACACCAAAACGTGTTAGAAAGTGAGTAAACGTGGAATATACCGGTTAAGATTTTATTCCAGCCAAAATTAACTTGCATATTTTTAACAATTTGTTTCTCATCGCAGAAAAGGCTTTAATAAACCTTTGAATGCATTTTAAAAGATTTTGCTAATTGATGCACTTCGTAGTATCATTTTTTAAATCGAACATTCGCCAAGAATTATTCAACCAAAGCAATATTTGGCGTTCAATTAGAATCCAGTGTATACTTTTGTTCGTGGTACGGTTTATGTTAGATTCTTCGAACATCGATCGGCGTATAGAAGTTCAGTGAAAGTAACAAATACGGACAGACTTGATGTAACAGCCTTGCTCTGAACTTCGCTCTATCTCGTCATTCTATTACGAATCGTAATAGCTCCTGAAATTACGATGGATTATCTGTTAATAAGTAGGTAAGTCAGTGAAAGGTGGTTCATCGTTCGTGGTCGGTATCTTGGTAATAATTAGTCTGAACCAATTGCAAGATTTGTACGTGAGAAGATTATGAAAGGAAGGATTTAAAACTTATATTATCGTAACTCTTAACTGACTGATTACAGAGGCTTTCTATTTTTTTCTTCCGAACATTTTCACGTTTGTACTTCTATGGTTACTACTACAAATGAATTTACTTGAGTATTGTGTTTGAAATTTGAAATACCAGTTCCCAGAGTTGTTGAAATTTTGATGAACCTGGATTTTAAAATCCAAGAGTATTTGAATTTTCGACAGACAAGTTCCCAGCGTCTGGATTTCGAAGTACTTGAGTTCCAAAATGCTCGAATTAATAAGTTTCCAAATCTACAAGTTCTTAAATTTAATAATATAGTGCTTATAGTTCTTAAATTTAATAATATAGTACAATAAACTAGTACTTATAAACAATAAGCATTTAATTAACAGAAGCGATCGATTCCGTTCATTAGAAAGCGTTAAGTATTGTCACATCTTCATTTGAAAGTGAATTGCGTGGATTTTCTTCGGAACGCGGATTGCGTACCGCGTCCCTTTCGATTTCCTGACACATAGTTGCATACAGCTCGATAAATACCTTCATCCTCGTGCAGCGTATATAATAAACCGGATGTTCCGCTCTCTCGCCAAAAATCTGGCGATGTTTCAGGAAACTGGCCTGAAGATTTTTCTCCTTGAATGACGTCGGAATGCGAGGGTGAAGAAAGGAGCGTAGGAAGTGGACAAGCGTAAAACGTAATTGTTGGAACTGACAGTGGAGAGTGTGAGAATGCGCTAATCGCCGAGATTAACTTTCACACGTTGTAACAACTTTTTAAACGCTGGAATGTTCTCAACGAACAGGAAGCATTATTAAGATCACGGCCGGTTACCCAAGCACGCTCGAATAAACTTTGATTTCGTGGAATTTTTTTCTGTCGCCTCTCTTCACGAGTGACATTAAGATGTTCTATATTTAACGTACAGATAAATCGCTTCTGTATCTTGATATATTATACATTATTTATACCTTATTAAAAGTACAAGCGAAGTGGTGCTGCACGTTGAACATGTGGGATTTCACTTCACCTATTCAAGGTAAAGTTCATGGTTCAGTTCATTGAAGCTTTAGCTTCTTCCTTCGATGCATTTCTCAGCAATTTCCTGCAATATCGTTAATCACGGAGAAACCGAGACTGCGCGGTGAATACTTTACAGGAGACCACTAGTCAGTGACAAGCATAAATTTTCTCGCTCACGATCGGTAAATTTCTATAGTGCACCTTGACATTTGACGTGATGGAAGTGAAGCTGTACGAGCAATTCTTGAAAAGCATCTGCTTTCCAATCGATATTCCACTTTATGACATCATCGACTTAACGTAGGAGTAACGTATCGCGAAATTTTATACATTCTGTCAAAAGTGAAAACAAATGTGAATGTAAAAATAGAAAAAGAAACATGTCAAATATAATATTACATAATAATATAATATAATATTATAAAATACTAAAATTACATTATAATATTATACTAAAATTATAATACTAAAATGATTTTATAATATTATCAAATACTATATTACATAATACAAATAGAAAATCCTGCACGTATCTGGCATCACTGGAAGTAGAAATAGCGGAATGAAGCGCATCCCACGTATCCTGGAGGTCATCGAACTCAGACAGTTATCCTTTTCCCATATAACTCGATCCTTTCTTTTCTATTTCCCGACCGAAGAGTAAGCGATTTCCACAGCGAGAAAGTCAACATCCTTAGCACGAAGCAAGCAAGGAAGAAACCAAACGCACGCCAGCCTTCGATTTTCGGCTTATAAACGAAAGCGTATACTTCCGCTGTAAACGAATCAGTAGAGAGCTGAAGATGTATCTGAAGACGATGGAAGTTGGGTCGAAAGTGAAATTCGCATACATACACCTCAGCGTGGCAATGTGATCGAGCCAATTAAGAGCCGTGAGCGTGGAATCATGAGCCTTTGATCTTGTGTGTGTACAGGAATGCACTCGGTTCCACAAAAAAGTGTATGCCATGGTTTCCGTGCAACACGAAGTTCGAATTGTTTCTAGAAAGTCTGGAAAATATTTGTTAAATACTCGTTTTTCACCATATTTTAGCTTTGTTAATCGTATAAATATTGATGTAACCGAAGTTTGATTTAACCTAAAAAGAGTAGAAAATAGCAATACTTCCTGTACTTGATGTAATGTCCAATACAATTTATATAATCGTATTTTCTATTATTTCTATAATTTCAGTATATTAAACGTTATAATACTAATTGTACTAAAATCAACTGGAATCAACTTTCTATGAGCAAGTATGTATTGCTTGAAAAGAATGTTTTCGAGGGAGAAAGAAAGATCGTTTCCCCTGAAAGAAGCTTACAATTAGTAATAATGCACAAGAGCGCATTGTTTGTATGCAAGCAGACGTGAATCTTCTTACACGTCTATGTGAATTATAAATCCGGGAAATTACTTACATAATTTCATACAATTCTGATGGAAATTAGCCGGAAATATTCCTCGGAATGTCTATGAATTTTCTCGTCACTCTAATCAATTTTCAAGTTGTCAAAAGGCAAACTTCCGGGATATTCACGTATACGGGTAGAGAGCTGCGTGCAGACCCACAGTGTCTCGGTGCATTCGAGACGATTCCAGTTCGAAAGTGAAACCCAATTCCTGTAATCAATGATGCGCCTTGAGCAGGTGAAATCTCGATGTTTAATTGGCTGTTCAGTCGAATGTCATGGAACGTTTATCGATCGAGTGGTTTTGATCTAGAAATTCTGCTTGATCGTCGAATTAGGTTATGTGTGGTTAGCGTCACGTTATGTTAATAAAAAGACAAAATAAAAGTAAGTATACGTTTCAAAGAATCTATTTGTATTGCAGTTGTAATAATTATAAATATTAAATTCAATAATTTACCTATTAGCATAATATATTACTGTTTGTCATGTACTCATAATCAATATATTATATTGTATAATATATATATATATATATATATATAGGACGTCCCAGCTTAAACAATCAAGCTCCACTGAGTTTAATCTAAAAAGGAGAAAGAAATGCTATATAAAATTCAACAACAAATATTTTGTTGCAAAGTTGTGAATAAATATTGTATATACGAAATATGTAAGTAGCATTTTCCATTACAGTCTACTACGTTGATAAGTATGTCTTTTTTCATATGCCATTATTAATTATCATAATTATTATGTAATCCTTAATTACAAATTTCGCATCATTAATTATAATGATACGAAGAATAATTCTCCATATGAAGTTATATTTTAAAGTACTTCATAAGTAAAAAAAGTCAAATGGTAAAGAAAAATGCGTATCTATTCATACTAACATATTTGTTTATAGCGCTGTAATAAAGCGTTCCTTGACATACGTCATATAACATCTTTTTCTTCTTTTTATGTGTAAATCAAGTCTTTGCAGTTTAAGTTCGGGATATCGTGTGAATATATATACACACCGTATGTTATATATAGTTAGTATTTACAAATATATAAATATTCAAATGAAAATCAATGCTAGGCAAAGTTTGTGAAATAAGACAACTACATTACGATACATGAATCGTATGGCAAGATGCATTTGATCCCAATTCGAAAGTGAAATTTGCTTCAATTCGCAGTTAGCGATGCGCGTTATATGGGTGAAATTACGTTTCTAATGGGTAGCGGAGTAAGCTATCATTACCATTGACCTGTATATTTCATTCACATTACAAAATGATTCCATGTTACATGCGATGCAAAAACAAATAAACTAGTTATCCACTTATGATACGGCTCACGTAACCATCCTATCGATATTCCTTTCGTATTTCCACTCTGCTATATTGGACTATATTTGGGTAAATTATTATATTTTTAAAAATTTGCACATAGCAGTATAGCAATTTATCTAAAAATTCTAAAAATTTCTAGCTATTTGAAGGCACCTGAGTTCTCAGACACTATAACTACGAAATATCGAAATCTTTGTGGAGTAAAACTCTTGCACGTTGCAATTCGTAAGTATTAAAATGTTTCCTGAACGTCAAAATATCTGACTTGTAACAAAGATTACAAATGTATAATTACCTGTCTTTCAAAGTAAATACGTGAGTTGCAGAATATATGAATTCTACATCTATGACTGGCATTATAGAAATTGTATAGTTCTCACGTTATATAATTGAAGAAATTCAAGAAAAAGACATTTATACTTGTATGTTAATTTATAAATTATATTTTCCCCGCGGAAATAAATGAATTAAAAAAAAAAGAAAGAGAATCATCAATAAGAGATCCAAGTGCAGATACGGACAAAGGAAGAATATATATACATACATATATATAAGTACACGTGCCTGTCCGTATGACAGCAAGTCATGTGAAAGTGGCCTTGTCGAGATCATGACACGGTACTTTTCGTCTCTTCGCATTCTGTGTAGCGTACGAAAAATTGATCAATGATTAAAAAACCGATGCTCAGCATTCGGAAGAAGCACTCGACTTCTTTGCAATGGCACGAGGAAAAGATACAAAGGAACCGCATATTATTGTAATTCTGTGCATACACGAGACTGAAGCAATTAATTTTGGTAATTATAACAGAAAGTTTTGGATGCTTTATGAATGGAATGATGTGATGCTTTATTAAAATATGTTATTGCAACAAAAAATATTTAAAATATAAGATTAAATTAAGATAAGATAAAAAAATTGATAAATAAAATATATAAATTGATTAAAACAAATATTGATAAGTATTATTTAAAGTTATTAACTTCTATGGTTATTTTTGTTCAGCGGTATTAAGATATTATTATCTTATTTTTCTTACAATATTCCTTTTTAGTTTTTCTTACGATGAGAAAATCAGCATTGTAATAATTGAATTATTAATTAGAAATTATGTTTATCATTTTCTTAAACCAATCATTAATCCTGGAATGGAAATGTTGGTGGATTGTAATTACCACAAATTCAACGTATGAACGATTCGCTTTCTATTGGGTAATACATGATCGTATATGTCCTCGTGTCGCGCCATACATAAACCATGAACAACTTTCAATGCTTTGGTTTATCACAAATATGAACGCAAGAACAGTTGATCGTTGCGCAAATAGAAGTATTAGAAGTATTATTAATATTAGAAGTTATTTTGTAAAAATCCCGCTATTAAAGCTTGAAATATTTATTAACATAAAAATATTTGTATATACGTTTACAGTTAAAAATTTGATTAAATACATTCAATGATTATAATTTCTTTATTTGATAATTACATACATGAAAATAAAAAGGGGCATTTTTTTATTTTATTTATATTAATTTGATTAAACTGAATTAGATATAATAATGTTGGTTTGCTTTTATAGAAAGCCAGCCAGTCCCCACCGGTCTTACGTTGGGAGTAACAATCACGCCGATAAAACGGTGGCATAAAACGTAGGAGAAATTTCTACAAACCTACAAGTAACTCTATCTAGTGTTGTTTTCTCAGATTTACTGAGAAGACTGCGTATTTCGGTATAAATAATTGAAATTATAATTCTAAAACTTTCATACATTATTTTTTTCAAATATATTATATTTAAATATAATTAAAAGAATTTAGTTTCATCGTGTCTTTTTTTTATAGAAACGTAAAAAATACCCAAGTGACTCCATATTAATTTAACAACTTGGCAATTACGCTGTTATCTATAATTTACACAATGAAACATGCCTAGCAAGCAGATACAAGCTAAGAAGGTAATAAAGACAGGACATAAAATTCAAGCAGGTGCAAGATAAGAAGGTAATAAAAACAGGACATAAAATTCGAATTAAATCAAATTTCAGTTAAAATATATTAGAATCTGCATTACGTTTTTAGGGATAAATACATATTTCCAGATCTATATCTTTCCTACGTTAGTATGATTCATGTCTTCCTAAATCGACCGCAAATGCATATTTTCTTAAAATTTTATCTAGATTCATCTCCTTCCAGATGTTCTTCGAGGATCAGTTTATTACATCATCCAATTTTCATCCATCTTTTGCAAAATTCTTATTTTTAAAAGAAATCTCTATGCTTGATCTAAACCTCTCCGTGAACGCGAGAGTTCTGAAGCTTCTTGAACACGCGGCCATGAGATATACTCAACTCCTACCTCGAATCCGGAACTTTCACCTTCCGTGGAAGCCAGCAGCACGTTGATTGGAGCTTTTCTTCCAGCTCGTATCGCGGTCGTTATACGTTAATTGCATTTAGTTGTGTCTGCTTCGCGTCGAAATGCTTCCACTTGCAGGATGTTCGAAAGCGACTTCCCTATCTCCAGAGTGAGAGATGTATAAGCACGTGCGACAGAAAGTATGTATCGTGAATTGAAGCTACATACCGTGAGATTACGACGAAGAAAGTAGAGAACATGCTATTAAAGTTGAAGCGTAATGAGAAAGACAGAAGACTGTCACCTACATGTTTGATTTCTGATATTTTTCAACTGCTACCTCTCATAACATCATACAAGTTAGAAACGCGCATAAAAACATATTTGTAAGAAAATTTTCATACTAAGTTATTTTGATTATATTTAATTTTGATTATAATTTCTTGTCATTACGCGATCTTCCATGATTGATCGATGATATTTATGAAACGTCGCCGAACATTTCGGTTTTCTTTCCCTTCAATGGGTGTGATTTGATTTATACTATTCTTTCAATCACAAAAATTATTAATTCTTACCTTAAGTTTGTTAACTCAAAAAGATGAAACATCTAAACTAATTACTGTAATAAATACTATATCAAATTAATATTGAGTATAAAAAGTATTTTGATTTTCAAAAAGTAAAATTTGGCTTTTCAATATTTAAGACAACAGAAAAATTTTGATTACTAATATGGTACTGATCTTGCACTTTAACGTTTATGAAAATATATAATACGAATGATCATATTAATCTTATGAACTAATCTTAAAAAATTTTCTCAATGACAATGCAATCAGTGATACTTATTTTTGAACTCTGAAAATTGCCTTATATTGTCATCTTAAAGTTTCAGACCACCTACTTCCGATGTTTTCTTATTTTCTTGTCTGTCTTTTTCAAGCTTCTCATCCTGTATAACTTGTCACGCGCATGACATCTGGAGAAAGTAAAGGTCGTGAGCGGTGAATCGCGACCCTGAGGACCCTGGGATGCGCTGGTTCCCTTGAATCTCATCTTATCCCTAGAAAGCATCTCTCATCTCTCTTCCTGCCGCTTCTTCTTCTTCTTCCGTAGAAACTAAGCGCTTTCATCTAGCGGGAATTAATGTCTAACCGTGTGGATATGGTTTCCTCGTGTTCGTGCGACTTGATACCTCCGCTTGGGAATCAAGAGGAAGATCTTCGCACTTTTACTTACGTGAAAAGTAAATCTTACAATTACAGAGGATAAGTATATGGAGTGAGTTAATAAAAATTCCCATTTAGATAATCAAAGTACATAAGAAATGAAAAGTATTTTTTGCAGTTACAAAATGATTTTAATTGATATAAAAATATCAAAATATTAGCAAAGGAATTATTAAAGATTATTTTAATCAAATTTATTGATTTAATCAAACTAAATTGATAAAACAATGATATTTGGTCAGTAAAAGAAGCGACACACATTGTCTTGACAATCTCTTTTTGCACAAAAGGCTAAACTATGTTTAATTAAAAAAAAATCTTGCATATTATATCTTATACAAGTTTAATCTCATGAAATAAAAATTTGGAGTGCATTGAACGAACAAAAGAATTAATTAAAATTGAAGAAGTTAAGTGAAGTAAATTAGATAAATCATGCATCAATTGCAGTCTGTTAAATTATTTCAATTTATCGAATGGATAAAAGCTAATTGTTATAGAAACGTTATTAAACACACTTATTAAACTTCTTCCTTTAATAACGATAAATAGAATCTACTACGATAAAGTGTATATGAGAATCGAGATAAATTTTTTTACATATGTGGTAATTACGATTTTAGTTCATTTTAATTCATTTTCATCCAGAATATTTCTTGTCAAACAGAAAGTAATTTATTTTGCATTATAGTTATTAGATACTACAAATTGTTCTATGTATTCATATTAAATAAACTGTCAAATTAATGTTTTTAATATTTTAATATTTTTAATTACTGTCTAACTCTACGCGTTTAATATTTTCAATTACTATTTCTTTTACAAATTGAATCTTTTTCTAATTGCAATATAATCTAATTTTAGTTACAACTAAATGAACTCGTAATTTAAGAAAATGTACTTTATTACGGCAACATACACAAATATAGTACAAAAATATATGAAGAATCGTTATTTACAAATAAAAAAAAAAAATTAATTACATTCGATTTGTCATATATTGTTTATCCAAACACAAATGACAATTCTTATTCTAATATGCAGTATAAAATCGTATAAAACTTCCTATCTACCATTATCTTTTTTAAGATGCGCAACAGAATTTAATTAAAAAGATTTAGTTGTAAAATTTCAACTAGAAAAGAAGTATTTAATTTTTTGAAAAATTTGTTTTATATATGAATAACATATAATTTTTCAACAACAACTCGTTCTAACTTTTTTGATTAAAAAACATTTAGCCACAAAATTTTACCTAGAAGAAAAAATAAAGTATAAAGACAATAAGAAAATATTTCTCCGCCCTCTTAAAAGATTATTAAATGTCAATAATTTCAAAATTTCCTACTGTGAAAACGTTTTTTTAGTACCAAGAATAAAGTCTCTTGACTCGCGAACGTAGTTTTACGTTCCCATTGATTTAAAAAACACACAACAGCCGAGTCCTCATTTTTCCTCCAAAAAGAGAGCAAAAAAAAGAGCGTACCGATGACGACTTTCGCGACACACGGACCTTTGATCCTCCGGCTACGACTACACTAGCAAAAAACTTTAACAACGACGGACGTTTTATCGTCCAGATGAGTGAGGATCGAACGAAGAATCTCGGGGGGGAATTTTATTTGTATCCGTGGTGTTCATCGTGGTGGGGCTCGGCCTGTACCCAAACTTTCTCCCAGACAGGCTTCCATACCTTCTTCCACGCTGGTACCTGCACATCCTTCCACACTGGCACCCACTTGCTCTTCCATTCGTCTTTCCATACCTGCTTCTTCTGCGTCACCCAAATTTGCTTCTTTTCAGGCACCCAAACCTGAACCGATTCTTCTTTCCAAACCAATTTCTTGTCGCTCACCCAGATCTGTTTCTTCTCAGTCTTCCAGATCTGTTTCCATTCAGCCTTCCATTCTAGTTTCTTCTCGCTGACCCAAACCTGCTTCTTCTCTGTCTTCCAGACTTTCTTCCACACAGGTTTCCATATCAGTTTCTTTTTCCAAAGGTCATGACTGGTATATTGCCATCCATGCTGATCTTTACCGACGTATTGCTCACCGGGAATACCTATTTTAACCCATTCAGGGACCCAAACCTTCTTCCAATCAGGTACTTGTACCTCTTTCCATATGGGGACCTGTACTTCTTTCCACACTGGCTTCCAAACTTTTTTCCAGGCTGGCACTTGGACCTCCTTCCACGCTGGAACTTGGATCTCTTTCCAAACAGGCTTCTGAACCTTTTTCCATGCTGGTACCTTAACTTCTTTCCACGCTGGAACCTGGACTTCCTTCCAAACAGGTACTTGAACCTTTTTCCATTCCTGTTTCCAAGTTAATTTTTGCTCTGTTTTCCAAATTTGTTTCCATTCTGGTTTCCACGTTAATTTCTTCTCCCATCTTCCTTGAGGTTGAGCTGGCGGTCCATATGATTGCGCTGGAGGTCCATATGATTGCGCTGGAGGTCCATATGATTGCGATGGAGGGCCATAGGAAGTTGATACTCCTCCTCCTCCTCCTCCTCCACCACCACCATGGTGGTCTCCTCCAAAGGAACCGTGGTCACCTCCATGTCCACCCCCACCTCCGTGATCATCATTAAAAGATCCACCACTGCTGTATCCTTGGTCGCCGTGATCACTACCGTGGTCAGTTGGTGCACCGTAGGAAGAAGATGGACCTGCTGGAGCGCCATAACTAGACGATGGTGCACCGTAAGAAGAAGACGGACCTGATGGAGCACCGTAACTGGATGATGGTGCGTGATAGGAAGAAGATGAACCTGACGGTGCATGGTAAGAAGAAGATGGTCCCGATGGAGCACCATAGCTAGACGATGGTGGATTGTAGGAAGAAGACGGTCCTGATGGAGCACCATAACTGGACGACGGTGCGTTGTAAGAAGAGGACGGCCCTGATGGAGCACCATAGGAGGAAGGTGGTGGTGGTGGAGCACCGTAGGAATCGGACGGTGCGTTATAAGAGTTTCCTACGTTTGGAACTCCATAGGAGGTTGCTGGTGGACCATACTGATTTGAAGGTGGACTTAAAGGTGCTCTGAAATTATTTATTTGTGTATTGTTTATTTGTAGTATTTATTATGGTGCTATTATTATATACAATATAATATATAGTATATGTTGTTATTACATTAGATATTTCTTAGATTTTACTTATGTATTATTCATTTTAAATTCATCATCAGGTTGCGGATATTTAATCGGATCAAACTCATATCTTTCATAATTAATATTTCGTTAATTAGTTAATATTTTTAAAATCTGAGTAAAAATTGCACATAGAACTGCAAGTGGTTGCAACCGCACATTGTATTGCAATTGAACATTCTATGCATTTTTACACGTTTAAATTTTTCCTAAATATATAACTTCGTTTATTATTTATTTCGTTAATTAGTCACAAGGTCATCTACTCACTCTTTTTTGGTCCTTATTGGGTCCCCAAGACTGGAGACGAAAAGGAAACAACACAGGAATAACTGCAAAAATGATTTTTTCATTACCAATTATTTAAAAATTATTTCCTCTCGTAATCTGTAATTTATTCATTTATTTCACATTTTTTACTTTTTATTAGATGTACGAGATAGATAAGTGTATGAATAATGGCGAAGAGAAGTAGAACCGCGGAAGATACGATATTTACGGAAATGTAAATGAAATCAAGTCAGCATCATCTATCTATCGGAAGAGAGCACACGTATCATCCAAGTAGAAATGCAAATGAACCAATCATGGCACGTTAGTCATGTAGGTGACTCTAGTGACTGTATAATTATATACCCAGTAACACCAATAACAACCTCCAGACATTCAACCGGCTGCAGATACAATCTCCTGTGTGTTCTACCTGAAATAGCACCTCCGTACACGAGCATTATATTTATAATTGCAGGCTGATTTCAATCTATATTCCGCTCGACCTTCACGTCGTTATCTTTATATCTTGACCATCGATCACGCCATTTTACATCTAACGCTGAAATTGAATTTTTTAAAATTACAAAAAGAGGAATTTTTGCACAGATGCTATCCTAGCCGCATTTCCCAGAGGCACATTCGAAACGTTATGAATAATATATCTTGCTGGCTGGTTTACAAGCGTGTCTCTCAAAAATGAAAGTGTCCACGTGCGAACTAACGCATGAACAAGACCGGGAATGAGGCCAACGATGGTCCCCTTTTTTCTCTTCTCCGTTTCCTTTACCAACGTGGAAACAGGAGGCCGATCGTGAAACTCGTGGCTGTTCATTAACGCCAGGGGGAACCGAAGGGAAAGTGGGCCTCTCAATTTCGTTTCCCAACCCCTGAAATACGCGCGACCTCGTGTTCGCTTTTTTATTTTCATCGGCGAACCAGCTGGCCACTGGCGTTCCTATTACGTCGATTACCAAAGTCACGGCTGCTCTGTCAAGATCAAGGCCCAATTTGATCCAAGAGAATAATAACCCGACGACTGTTCGAATGTTCCTTTTTTTTTTTTTAATTAAAAATTTTTTTAGACATCTTAGAATTTTAAATACCGAGTTAAAAAGCCTTTATTATTTATAATTTTTAGATTGAATTGAAAAAAACCTATAAATGGCGAAAAAAATAAATTAAGTACTCTGCGAATAAATATTAATTAAATTAAGTTGTATCGAGGTCGATGATCGGGCAATTCATCGAACCCGTGACAACATCGATGGTTTATGAAAGTATTGGAGACCGATAGAAAGTTGTCGAAGATGATATTAACTTAACGATAGAAAGGGAAAAAGTGTGACAACGGTCCTCTATGTATTTTTTTATATATGTAAGAAACAAGTCGCGCTCAGCAACCGGAGGGAACTGATGTGAAGAATGTACGGAATTTCGAAGAAACAGCACTTGAGAATGAAAATGATTTAAATCAATGATTTTACGGAATTGGGATTCTTCTGCGGAAATAGATTTTCGTAACTGGGTTAAACGTGGAACGTGAACGAGTTTCGGATATCTTTGGTGCAGTTTCACGAGAGATGATCATTCGAGGCACGAGCACAGCGCTCGACTTTCCATTCTGCACAACGTGAAACGATGAGAATACGTTCTTAGGACAGCTCCTAGAAAATAACACCGGTGACTCAACGAGTCATTCACCAACTGTGAATCTACTTGTGGAAGAAATAAGTAGTTGAGAGTTTTCGAAAATTCTTCAATTTCAATAATGAGACCTGAAATAAAACATTTACAATAAAATTTCAGTTTAAACTTTTCAAGAGGTTCTTCAATCTGACAATATGACAACAAATGTAAGATATTTACAAATTCGAATATCAAGGAATTCAGAAATGAGCAACATTCTCCGGTTTTATTATAAATAACTTCAATACTCCAACAAGTTGATTAGTCTTCGAATTATCTAAGAATTAATATATAACCAATCTATGACATCGTTTCATAAGACTATCAGTTTGACTTTAACAATCAACCTACTACTCTACTTGAAATCTTGAGGAACAAAACTGAGGAACAACACGTCCACTGCGAATCGCAATAATTAAATTTTATTACCCCTACAGTACCACAAACTACAAAAAGAAAAAAGAAAATGTACAGGTGCATCTAACATCTAAGTATAAAAAGCGATACATAATATCTGTATCTATCTGGGAAATTTTGTTATAAATTTCCATGTGAATACATGTAGTAATATAGTATTTCAATATTTAAAATCATGCAAATTTCTTTAGTTTAATTTTAAGCAAATTGAAGATTTCATTGTTTGCATCACTTTCTCTCTAAATTTCTTAAACAATTCTTAGGTCCGACACAGACAAGTTCCGCCGCAAGATTCTTTTGAAAAAAGACGGAGAAAAGACACGAAGCTCTCCTATTCTACTTTCAGTGAAACAATAAAATTTTGTGCGACAATTTGTCGTAGACCGCTCGTCTGCATTGGACCTTATACTTCCAATTGTCTTTACGTTATAAAGTGTTACATCAGTTATTATCTTTCCACAATTTCTTTTATGTTCCACATTCAATTCAGCCCGTACGATCCAATATGGGGTTCGCAGTGAACGTGTTAATCACCAAAGCTCGGTTCCAATAACTTTTCTCGTCACTACCCCGTGATTTGTAATGATAACACAATTTTTTTTTCACAGATACACTTGTACGACACGAATCCGAATCACAATGACAATAGCGACAATGATGACGACAAAAATTGGGCACTGACCAGGCTAGACTGCATCTTCACAAACTGGGGGGGGTTGTTGTTCACCACACGACGACGAGGAAAAAACGGCAAAGGCCGCCGCGTTTTAAAAAAATTTTTTTTTTTCCTTTTAGTTACGGTTCGTCACTCCTCTGACGAATTCTTCGTGTCTACAGTGCCTTTTATAGCGGATGTTTCCTCCGCCTAGGCAGCTAGTCGCCCTAAGCATAGAGACATTACGAGGAGGGGTATACCCATGAGTGCGTTCACGATGCTATACGGGGGTCTTTATGCTTGCGCTTACATCCTGAACTCACCTCTGGAGGGGATCCACGACGCGTTATGATCACCAGTCGAAGGTAAAAGGGGCATTTGGGTGCCATCAGTAGCTAGACGCGAATCGTGAAATTTTGTCTGAACGTCGTTGCTCACTCGACTCGTTTACCCAGGTGAAGGCTTTCAACTCAGATTCGCTGGCTGAAGGCTTTTCTTGTTTGATTAACATTAGCGAAGGCAAACAGCTTGTCTTTGCATTGAAAAATATTAACAAATTTGTGGAAGATCGTGCAAAAAGCATTTTGCCCTCGTAACTAAAAATGTAGTATGCTTAACCAAATATAATATGTTTAATGATGGAATCGAGTATATTGCAAGTTGATTCTGATAGATAGAATAAATCGAGTAAATAGAACTGCAAAAGTAACTGCAAAAGTTTCGAATAGCCTGATCTCTCTACTTACTTAGAGAGACATTTATACATATTTATGAAATCCTCATAAATTATTTCTCTCTTTTCTTAAATAGTATTTTCAAATGTAATTATCATGATAAATATTCGTACTCTTTACATAACACTTTCAAATGCGACAAAACCTCGGCCATGTAGATTCGAATTTTTGATAAATATTTTAGTCAAAAAATTCGTCCATGATATTCCTTTGATAGCTTTCTGTTTATAACATTAAACTGCATACATAATGTTCGTGGTTTCCTCTCGTTCTCCAGAATTTTCACTTACAAAAATAACAAAATAGAATTCATCACGCATCCGTGGCACATGTTTCTAGAAAAAGTTTTTAGCAAAGTTTAAATTCGTTCGCATTAGTAGAACTCGTTTCACGAATATAAATTGAGGAAGAGAAACAAAAGTACAAAGATTCTCTACATGCGCAAATAAAATATTTTACAAAATGTTGTATTGTTGACTCATCCGACATAAACCAGTCTCCTGAATGCTGGTATTCAAGCACGCACAGGGAAGAACATTGAAGAGTAAATTTGTTTGCTTTCACTGGTACGACAGTTAAAGCATTTTATGCAATCGTTGCTATACCCGTTAGACCTTCGATTCGTGCATATGTAACACTCTGAGAAAGTGCTCAATGCATAAATATTACAAGAATGATATAAACGACAATCAATCGTTATTTTCCAATGTCATAATTTCCATTAATCATCCATCGTAGCCTTCTTGACAGCACAATACATAAGCACTTGCTATGCATGTGAACGTATGCAGCTTTGAACTATTTATAACTGCTTATAATGAAATGAATTATGTAGTGTTGGATTGTTTTCGAAGTGCAAGGCTTTTGGTAATTGACATTATGTCATATTGTATATATTTGATCGTAATAGAAACTTGGGACAGAATTATCAAGTAATAAAATAATAGTTCCGAACATATTATTTCCTTCAATTAAATGTTAAGCTCGTAAATATTGTGTTGAGGAATTAATTATTGAAAATGATAGAATTTTTCGAAGAGCGATTATAAAACTCGTAGTAAAATAATTGTACATCGAAAAAAAGAACGGAAGTTTAACAAAATGTTAGTTTTATAAAAATATATTGTTTTTTATAAAATTTAAACTCTATAAAGAATCCAATGTAGATAATTAACAACTTGTTTGAAAAATTTTTATATACTTTAACTTTTATATACTATAACGTTTCACATGCTAACACTCCTTCCACCATTCCTCTTATCCCCATGAAAAATGTTTAATTTGATTAAATCAGACATTTGAAATGTCCAATATTTTGTAGATTAGTCTAACATGTTTCTTTACACAGTCTCAATAATTTACAATTCAAAGTTTCTAGAAATTTCTACGAGTTCCTCTTTGTCAGTTCAAATCGTTTGATTGTCATCATAAAGATTCGTTTATTTCCAACTACTGAATTAATGTCGATTTCCAGTTTTATTTTAGGAATCAGGTAGTTTGGTAATACATGCGACCGACTAATTTTTCCATACCTGTCCGACAGAGAATGAGGAGAGATCTGGGTCCACCTGTTTTCTGTCAGAGACCTTGTTGCCCAACCGAATCGATTTGGAGCTACAGACTTCCGATTATGCAATCTGTCGGCGGAGATTAGAATGTGAATCAGAAATAGGAACGATATTATCGGTCATGCTTCGTATAAAATATTAATTTCGCTTGTTTCGCTTACCACAGAAACACAACTCGATCATCGGCTCGCGGTGAAACTTTTGTTTCAATTGATTCGACAGAGTGAAGAAGACGAGAACATATCTAAAAAAAAAAAAAAAAAGAAATGAGAGAAAGGACGCAGTTAAATGCAATATATCCATATTCTTGTAGAATGTAGAGAATCGAATATGGAGAGAAATTGTCATAGTTGACTTTTGATCTTTATGTTATTTTTAATCTTCAACATTATTTTGATCTCTCTCACATATTTGACTTTTCCCGATGATATTTTTACTGACATTTGACTACCTGACTTTACTGACCTTTTGAATTTTATTTTTAGTTTTAGCTTGTTATTCTTAATTCGTTGAACTTTTTCAATCCTACTGATCTTGTCAATCTTTTCGACATTTTTAGCTTTCTGGCCTGATTAGTATTTTGAGTTTCACCTATATTTTTGAGATTTTCAACCTTTTGAGTACTTTTGTAGTTTTTTACGCTTGACTTATGTAAATTTTAGATTCTTTCCGGTTTCTTCGTCAAGATCAATATTTCAACGGTTCTTAAAATAGGAATTACAATCGGATCATTAAATTAAAAGGGAATAAAGAATAATTAACTGAAATTTATGAAAATCGAATAGACATATCTAAGATAACAGTTTGTACAAAATTAGTATCATTCGTTAATTCAAATTCGTTCTAGTTAATTCAGACTCGAGAAATCTGTGTTTGATGAAAGCAATCGGCTAATTTACGAGCATGCTCCAACCTGCTAATGGATCGCCTTATAGTTCTTTCTCCGTGAATAAATTATTTCACAACTTGGAATTTTTAAAAATGATCTTGAGAAACTAATACACATTTTAAAAAAAAGATCGTTTTCCTTTATTCCTTTCTTTTAGTGAAATTACGTTTTACCGTCTTTTAGTGGGCAATGCGTGACATGAATTTTTCTACATTCTACAATTCCTTATGTAAATTCTGACATTCCTGTCAGACATAGGTATAGACATGTTTTACTATTTCTCACATCTCTCAATAACTCTAAATCCGGTTTTATCTACATTATGAACAGAATAAAAAACTAGATGTGTGTTCTAACAATTTATTTCTTTGTCTAAATCTCTGTAAGACCGCTATTTCTTTTAGTTTTTTTTTATTAATTTTTTAAATTTTTTATCGCATTTCTATTACTACTTAATTTTCTACATCAAATAAATAATTGTCTTTAATGTCCATAGTTACATTTAATAATAATAACAATAATGAAAATTGACAATGAAATTTGACACTAATAAATTTTCTTTTAATAAAAGGAAGAACAAAATACCTACTATTTGCTTTAGAAGCAAAAAAAAAAGCTAATCATCTGAAATAGAAAGGTTTCAAAAACAAGTATGCTGGAACATGCTCCAACCTGGAAGTACATTAAACTATCTTGGAATGTGAGTAAGGATGCAACGAACCAGAGAAACGCATCGGGAAACCGAACGTGAGAAGAAGCTCACAAACGAGGCGCACACAATAAACGTTTTACTGCTAAGAAACTACATCGACTTGATTTTACCTCTTAAAGAGTCACTTTGACTTTCTTTAGATTCTCCTCGCGGTTTCCTATCGATTTGATACCTTTCACCGTGCCATCCTTTGCTTCCGTGACAGCGTTAGAACGACACGGAAGTAACACGGATCTCTGCAATACATAAAACATTACAATAAGATACTAACGTCCAATGTTTTTGTACCAATGAATAATTATAGCAGACAAAAAAAGCAAGATACCCTGCTATTATATGAACAGTATAACGTGTTTCTTAAAGGATATACATACGCGACATTAGCTATGAAAGTCCACAAAGTATCTCTGTTTTTTTAGATAAAAGTTGAAATACAGAGTTTGAAGAAATATTCACTTTGGAGATAGCGAAACCAATCGATGTGCGAATGTGTATAATATACGTCTCGAAATTGTCCTACTTCTCAGAATTCTTTCTACTAGTTCAGAAAATCTTCTATGGAGAAAATGTATTCATCAGTTATTCTATTCCTCAGTCTTCTCACTAATCTTAAAAGATCACTTGTTTTAAAGAAAGCGAATATCATTTCAATCTTCTTTCCAATTTTGAAAATTTTTTCTTCCAAAAAACTTATATTGCTAAAATCATATATTAAGAATCTTATGAATTTAAAACAAATGCACAAAATAATATTTTGCAAAGTAAGAAAGTACAGTTTCCGGAGGAAACGAAAGTAAACCTTACATAAAGTAAAAATGTTTCTAAAGGAAAGTTCTCTAATATTAAGTCACAGCCAAAAATTGCTTCAAGCGTAGATTGTCTTCTTGCCATCCTGATGTAGAGAAAATGGAACATCGCGAATTTCTCGCTTTCAATAAAGATCGTTTCTCTTTCTACTGTTTCATCTTCGTCTTTCGAGTATAGATCGTGAGATACACTTGGCATTTTCGAGTGATAGTTGAAACAAAATGCAGATTCCTCATTTTCTCCTCAAAGAATTTTCTTTTAATTGTTGTTTCCATATAATAAAATTTAAAATATGGAATTGACTAAAGGACCTAATTATTATATAATAATTTAATATAATACTTAATATAGCAATTTAAGCCTTTCAACCATTAAATGTTCTTTAATTTTAGGATATTTAATTTTATTTTTCATTCTTTATTGTATGCGATAAATAATATTCATAACTTTCATCGCGTAAAATTAAAT